TTTCTAGATACAATCAACCACACCTGCATGGGTCGACTAGAGTGTTTGGGAGCGTTTTTATTTCTATTTTTTTTCTTCTGGATACTTCCAGTCCTAAAATTACATCATCTGGATTGGGATCTTTTGGCAAAAGTGCAGTTGGGGACGATGATGCGCAGACTTCTGCATCAAACCTCCATCAGGATTAAACACGGGAAGAAGTTTAACATAGAACCAGCCAAGTGCCATTTTCCTTCGGAAATCAACCACATTTCACTACTCGATTTCAAGTATGATACAAATATTCTTTATTTGCATTAAAAAACTTAATTTTGGCTGGTTGTTTTTCGGAGTTTGGTAAGGCTTATTATCTACTGACTGATGGCTCTCTCCATTCGTGGAACAGACTTGAATACTTTCCGAAATAGTTTCTGGGTCTTGACCCAACTTGTGGGTAACTGAATACTGAATTATCGCGGTGAATAGGATTCTCAGTCCTTGTCATCTCTCATTCCGGTGCACAGTTCCCTGCTTACTTCCTCGCATGGTTAATTCTCTCTTGTGAGATCTAGGAAATGTCGGCGATGTTGATTTTAGATGGTTTTGTGTTTGTGAGCACAGTTTCCAGCGCGCTTTGTCTTCATCTTTATCCAAGCACGAGAATCCAATGTATATTCTTCCGTAAGCTCTCTGTGCAGCGATCTGTTGCGAGAAGTCGAGAGGGTCTTGAGTCTTAGATTGGTTGACGCCTTACGCTATTCACTCGAATGTAGGGGTTGCGAGGTCCTGGAGGCTTTGTTCTTTGCATCGTGAGAAGCATCGCTTTAGCTGGGAATCTGTTGCGGTGACTAGGGTTACGTGTTGAAATTGGCGAGTTTTTGTTTTGGAATTAGGGGGTTTCCGCACGGTTGCTGTTTTAGATCTCCTTTCGGACCTCGGCGTAGGTGCTCAGATGGTTTGGATGTCTTACGAGGGGTGCAAACGCTTGACTTGAGTGTCGACAAAGGTGTGACTTGATTTGTATTTGTCGAAATATTGCCTTCTCCTAACCTGGCAACCTGGCAGATGGGTCGAGTCCGCTGGTGCCGAATGCCCAAACGCTGATCACATTTCAACAGAGTCGGCACGATTGAAGTTATTAGTGAGAACTGCATTCCACCGCCAATTGGAGAGGTCACAGAACCACTGTGCTCTGCCATTTTCGGTCTATTTGCCTTTCTGAAGAAGATCTGAGCCGTCTCAAATCCATTGTTTAACGGCGTCATGTTCGAATTACCGTCCTGCCCGAGCCCTGCGGTCCACGTTGCAGGCATCGCAGGCAGTGAGCCTCAGTGCTCACTATGCCAGATGTTAGCCTGCCCTAAGCTTGTACATTATCCCGATCCAGGAGAGGTTCTCAGCAATCAGTGCGAAATTCATTCTGCTATTGTTTTCGTGATTGTCGATTATCTGTGGCAGGCCTGTCAACAGTGAGGTCGCCAACGGCTTTGGGATCTTTTTAACCACCTTGGTCACAAACAGTGTTTGGTGTTTCCTCACGGTGGACGCACACTGAAACTGTGTAGGTTGGTCGAAGAGCAATCTGGTAGAATAGTGGTCAGAACGTGCTGCGGAAGCAACCACTCAACCTGTCACGATTCGGTTTCAGTGAGAAGAGATCCCGTTTTTACAGGAACAAAGTAACCCATTCGTGACCTTTTGAGTAGTTTGATAGATGCAATTCGCATTCTTCAATGCCACCCATCTGTGTATCTCTGAGGCACATGCTAATAATGAATAATAATGCTTCTCGGAGCAAAGAATTCTATCGAAAGCGAATCGCTTCATAGCCGCAAAGAGTCTGGATTACATCATTCGTTGTTGCTGGAGAGTTTGGAATTCCAACTTTAACCCTGTATGGTTTCTTATGCGCTGCATTCATCTTGCCTTTGTTGCCAGATAGACACGTTCTTCTTTGTACCCTCCTTACTAAAAAAAGCCATGAATCCCTGACATCTAAAGAGGTCATTTCACCCTTGTTACTCTACCCGTTGTTATTCGTTAGTTTGACCTGCCACCTTGCAACGTAAGTGAGGCTTGCAGATACTGCATCAACTAGAAATTTATTTTGTCTACTAAGAAGATAGCAATGAGACGTGCTGGACACACTGCGAGGTAGAGCAGTAATCCATGTGTGAACCACATCATACATCGTCAGATCAACTATCGAGTTGCTAAGATTGATACTCTCGAAATTGACTCCGACACTGCATTTTTGTAGCTTCCAGACATTCTCTGATTGTCAACGAAGGCTGTTTAATCTTGTGAAGAATGTGAATTATAATGTCTTAAGTATATTTAATGGGTCGTGACAGTGAGGACAAGCACTATCTGGAGAACTGTTCCTGGGGTTGTGTGGTATTGTCACAGTTTTGCAATAGTCTTTAACATGGCGTCCACTGTCTCGGTGAATTGGACCCCATGCTGCCATTGCCGTGCAAAGGAGGTTTTCCTCACAGATTGCTGTGCAGTCGGATTGTATGTTTCGATCACAGGTTGTATTTCCAGTCGGTTTTTTTGAGTATCACTGCTATAACAATGGCAAAGTTTACATTTATTGGAGGTGCATTGATAGTACCCTATCTGGTACTGTTTTTGTGGATCATGTAGGGTTCACCCACTCAAAAACTCACAGATCATCCATCATGCAAGTTTTTGTCTCTGTTTCTCCATAAGTAATGCAGCTGTAGACTTATCTAAGTGCTACATCTAAGCCCTTCACTCCCATGTAACTTTTGTTTTGTTCTGTTTATATGACTCAAGGATTATCTCTGTACATTAGGCATGGTTGTGATTTTACAATTGGGATTTGAAATGTCAACTTCTTAAATATTACTTTGCATACTGAGGTACAAATTGCCATAGTTTTAGGTCATTTTGGATTTGTAATATTTGTCTTGAAAATCTTGAATTTTGTTTATCTGGATATACAATAGTGGAAACCAGTTGGCCATGAAAAAACATTGTAAACCACTTGTTGTAAATTAATCTTTTGTTTGAAGCTTCATGTGATGTGAAACTCCAGGTTGCATGTTATTCCATTATGTTCCATATTGTTCTACATTGTGGTGCTTTCAAGCTCTATGCTTAGTGATTTTGTAGTGCTACTCTGAGCAATTTGTAGTAGCAGCTTGCAAATTTTGATCTCTAATTGATCAAAAATTGAGTTATTGCTTCACCTAGATGGAAACAATGGAATATGCAGCCAATTAGAGATGGTTTTTGTCTTCTCTGGTTTATCCTATTGATTTATTCCTTGAGTTGTTTTATATAAGAGATATACATGTTTTAAATTTTTTTTAAAAAAAAAAAAAAAAAAAAAAAATTGTATGTTTTTACATATAATTCTTTGATCTATATATTAAAAGATCCCAAAATAGATGAAATTTATAAATTGTTACTAGTAGTGAAAAATTATGTATTTAAATTTTACTGTTCAATGCATTTTGAATTTGAATATTTGAAAATTAAAATAATACATGTATATAACGAAGAGTTACTTTTTTGAAGTTATCCTTTGAGATTTTCTCTTCAAAAGCTTTTTGAAAACAAAACTCTTTGAAACTTTTTTAAGAATTCTGAAAGATATGTGAATTGGTCCAAATGTTTATTACTAGTTCTAAAAGCATCTAATTTCTTTTATTTATTTGTGATGTCACCTCTCTTTAGCAATAAATTCTACAAGTAGGAGACAAAATATATTTATTTATAGTTTTAAAAATTACACTTGCACTGCAGAACACATATTAGACATGGTCCATTCCAATTAAAAATAAGTGAATGGGTTCTTTTAGCAAAAAAAATATTGGATAAAAGTTTTAATAAGTTATGTAAATTTCTATTTTTAATAAAATTCATTGCTACAAAATAATAATAATAATAATAATTTAAACAACGATTCTAAAATAGAGAGACCAAATTTTAAAATGCTATCAATACAAAGACATTCTGTTTCTATAAGATTTCATCAACTCAATTCTTTGCAAATAATGTGATAATTTAGTATATTCAATTTTCTAAGTTTAAAAGACTGTCTTTACAATTATGTTCTTGTCTCTTAACATTTGGAGGATTTAACAATCTATCAACAACTTCCAACACTTGTATTAATGCAAGATTGACCTTTAATTTAGAAAATATATCCATATATATATGTATATATATATATATATATATATATGTATTTATATCTTTCTATAAAGTTTTTTTAATTCAAGATTGTAGAGTTATACTAAGTTATACCTTATTAGTTTGAATTTAGAATATATATGAAGCGGACTACTTAATTCAACATGCATTTTTTTTTTTTCAAATTTTTGTCACAGAGTACGTTGAAGAAATTTTTTCCGAAATTTCTTCATTGTTATGGAATTGATTTATTTATTTATTATTAACACAATACAATATATATTTTGACATTATATTATACAAATTTTTGTATTGCAATGAATCCTAATGGTGGAATTACTTGTGTTGTTGAGTAACCAACGTCTGAAAATTATTTTGATGCACAATCCAACAAATGACTTTTAAGAAAAAAAAATACAAAATTTTCAATTGTGTATTACAAATGTGTTAGAAGTATTACTACTACTATTACTATTTGTCTTAATGTTTTATAGAGTAACACCAGAAACACAAAAAAGTAAACATCAACAAAGACCCAATCTAATTCTAAAAAAAGAAATTAAGTAGAATTAAATATTTACATATCTTAAAAAACTCTTGTCCAAACTCATTCATTCTAATGCATCACACCAACCAACTCCATTTTATATGCTACGTTTGAAATTTGCTTCTTCTTCTTCTACTTCTACTTCTTCTTGTGCTGCTTGAGCTGTTTGCTTGTGCTTGTACTCCCCCACCCACAAAGGTTTCAAAACGGGCGCCTCGGGAGGTACTCCCAGTGTGTGTGACCGACGTGGGGTGATTTTGCTGGATCGAGGACGAGCTCGGTGAGGATTTTGGGAAGGTGGGTGAGTGAAGGAGAAACGCAATGCATTTGCTCTGATGATCAGTTTCCAATGAGGGTTTTGTAAGCTGTTGTGAGTAGTGGAATTTTCTTAGATGGTTGTGTTTTGTTTCTTTTTGTTGTTGTTGTTGTTGTTGTCTTCTCTTTTTTTGTGGTTTTTCGATTGAGCGACGGTTTAATGCTGTTGATACTGAGGGAAGTGCAAGTATACTTGTGCGATGCGTTGCAGAGATGGATTGGTAATTTCTATGTTTTCCCTTGGCGGTAGTGTCCTTCATTAGGGTCGGCTGGTTTCAGTGGTTCGCACGAGGGCAGACGACCCTGAATTTGAGAGGGCACTCTTCGTTTCATCGTTTGGAGAGGGCCCCTCAATTCTGAAGCCTTATTTTGATTCACGTGTTTTCAAAGTGTTGAGTCCCTACTCAGTGATTAAAAAGGTAGTTCTAATGCTGTTTGATTGGATCGCATATTGGGTGGATCTAGGTCAGGAGCAGTTTGGTCTTGGATCGATTTGGCCACTTGAGAGAGCTATGAATCGAGATTATTTTCGGCTATCTCTGAAGGATCTTTAGCACGATAGTTCCTTCCTGAATAAAAGCAATTGCAGAAAACTAACAATTGTTCGACATAGGTCTGGACGTTAGCTCTTACCAGGAAGTCAGATGCGGTGGGAAAGAAATAGAGCATTTGAACATAAGTACAAATTCTTGTTGTTTATGTGTAGGTGGCAGGAGACCAAGATTGTGTAGAGCCAAGTGGATGATTTGAGATCTGTATCCTGTACAAAGCCCAAGCATGTCGGTTCGCATGTTGAGGCGTGCTTTGAAGGAGCAGGAAGCTCAGGATTCGCATAGAGTTGAAGGTGTGATCGCCGATGAAGACGATGACACCCCAAATGAAAAACCTGCACAGAACCTTTTCAACCTACTTGGATCAGAGGTAAGTGACTTAATACATTGCGACCATGAATACCTCAGGTCATGACGTTGATCTTAATCTCAATTTCTTACTTTGCATGCTCTGTTTGGTTTTCCCTAGGAGATTGAAGAAGATGTTGATGAAGCGGAAGATGAAGGTGAGGTAGCTATTAGTAGTGAGTCTCAGATGTCAAAGAACAGTTCGCTTACAGCCAATTTGAGCAAGAGTAAGAAGAAGAGAAGTAAGGGAAAAAAGAAAGAAAAATACTCGAGTTTACCCGTTCCAGAACCCAACCCTGGCTTTGAGGAGGAATCTGTAGATGAATTGCTGGACAGATTGGTGCTTCAAAATGAGGAGGTTGCATCAACTTCTGACGCAGCAACTGTTCCAGGTATTTTAATGATTTTGCTTCAGCTGAATTGCCTTCAGTACGTAGAACCAAATTTGTTGGAAAAAATGATCATGAATTGGTTGGCGAGACACATGTTCTCCTTCCAAACCAATCTCTGGTCACAATGTTGTTTCGTTGTGATTTCAAAAGACTAAAGTGGTCACATATGATTCGCAGATGTGGACCCCTTTGAGATATTAGGTGTGGATTCACGTTACCTGAGAGCAGAAGATGAATTGAGGCGTATATTTGGATCAAAAGTTATAAGTGCTGCCGAGAGGGGTGGGGATGGGAGCAGGAAGCGCCAGATCCTTCAGAGAGGAGGTCGAGTGTGGTTGAAGATGACTTTGTTGGTTACACCCCATGATCATTGGCCGCGAGTTGAAAGTGGACTATCCATGGAGTGCATTGATTCCAAAGACGGTCTTCAATTTTTCAGGTGCATAACTTGTCTTGAATTTCGTAATTGTAACACTTCGTGCCCGTCACCTGGGATTGCTGGCGGTTATATATAAAATCCTAAACCTGGTCCATAGAGGTTTGACCTTCTCTTGTGCTCATCCAAATATTTTCTTGTAGGTATACATTTTCGAGCTCGTACCAGGCAGTACAGAAGAGATATGAGGAATATTCGGCTTCTCATGACCCCAACGCTATTGCTATGATAGTAAACCAACATCCATATCACATTGACTCACTATTGACTTTAGCGGACGTGTACAGACATATGGGTGAAACCCAGACGTCATCTGATCTTTTGGAGAGATGTCTCTACGCCTTGGAATATGCATGGCACCCCTGGTTCAATATAACAACTGGAAGGTGTAGATTGGACTACAGATGGGATCCAAATAAGCCATTATTCATTGCTTTATTCAAACATATGCAACACTTAGATAGGCGAGGATGTCACAGGGCGACACTCGAAGTTTGTAAATTATTGCTCTCATTGGACTCAGATGATCCCTTGGGATCAATGTTTTGTGTTGACTATTTTGCTATAAGGGCTGAGAAATATGATTGGTTACAAAGGTTTGTACGAGAATATGCGATAGATCGCTCACTTTCATTGCTGCCCAATTTTTCATTTTCACTTGCACTTGTGCAATTTCACATCGAAGCTCAAGGGTCTACTTCCGGCTCTGTAAGGTGATTTCACCACCCTTTTCTAAGTGCATATAGTCGAAGTTTTTGTGGATCTTCCTGTAGAGGCCTTAATTAATGCATTTTTCATCTTTTAGTCTCTTGCAGGATCGTGATAAATTCTCGGCAATTTGTTCCTTGTTATGTCCCGAATTTATTATTTATCTGTCCTTTGTAGCAGGAGAGGGAATGGCAACGCATCAATAGCTAAATCACCCCAAGATTTAACTGAAGAAGAAGAGTCCTCACTAGAACTATTACAGCAGGCGTTAATGCTTCATCCTGCTGTTCTGAGGAAGATAGTGGACAAAGCACCCATCAAAGAGGATTCTGCGTGGATCAGTATTCTAAAGCATCCTCACTTCAGGAAGGCCACTTCAGAAGGCCCTACATTGGACCACCTTATAAATATTTACATAACAAGAAGCTACTTAGTTTGGAGACCTCCTGAAGTTCAAGCGTGGCTAAAGAAGGGCGCTCAAGCTGTGGTTGACATTGCTGAGAGGGCAGCCACAGTGCCCAGAGAGTTTTCGGAGATTGCTAACTGGGCTTGTGTGCGGAAAGAGGTATTTCCAGCAGATCAAAATGAGTAAGTCAATACTTTGAGCCACACTCTGGTGTGTCACTCTCCCATATTTTTCATATGTGGTTATCACATGTCTCTTCCAAATTTTCAGCTTCATGTTTCTTCTTCACCACCACCAATTTTGAACTTCGATACAGAATGGACTATCACTACATTTGAGTAACTTTCGATTTCCTGGAAATCCTATTTGAGTGACTGAACTGTCAATTGGACACATCCATACCTCTTGTTTGTTCTTTCCTCAAGTTTCTAGACCTTTTTGGAAGCTTACTCGTGTGGTGGGTACTGCTCAGGTATAGGCATCTGCTAGTATCCGACTTCTCGGATTCAATACCAACTCTTCCTCCAGAAGAACTTCAGCAGTTTGGGCTTCCAGGCAACGGAGAGAACGCCATGGCTAGGGTAGCGGAGCAAGGGAGGAGATTGGAAGGTCGAAACTCATTGCTCTTGTTTCTTCAGTCATTCTTGCCGTGGTTCAACCATGGGGTGGACTTGCATGGCCAAGAGCCACCTCCCCGGGATTGAGCCTCATATACTCGTATGAGGTGAGTTGCTTTTAGTCATTACTGTATATTACATTAGAACAATGTGTTGAAGTGAAAAAAAAATTGTATCAAAGAGAAGCAGGACTAAAAAAACTCGGGCAACTTAGCTCATGCTTCTCTCTTGACGGTTTGAAATGTTGCAAAACTTGAGCAATTGCATTTGATGCCTACACTGGAAAATTTGGTTTCACTGAAGAACCCGCAACTTGAAGTGCTTTATTAACTCCTAGTGGCAAAATGTGGAGAATGAAGTCTTATAATTATTTTGGTTCAGGTTATATTATTTGAAAGTACATGTATTCATTTTGATCAACTTTCGAATTTTGGCATGAACAGAATATGTTAGTAATGTGTTTTATGTATTTATTTGTTGTTGCAAACGTCGAAAGCAATATATAATTTATTATGGTTGTAAATCACAAACTCAATATAGGTGTAAAAATGTTGAAATGTTTGAATTCCTAGTAACCAATTACTTTTTATTATGTAATTGTTTATCATTTCTTATTAACACTGGTTGCAAAGGAAAACATGACTGAGATGGTGCTAATTTCATTTTGAAACTCTTGATAAATGAAGTTATATTCCTCTATGTATCAACAATGCTATTTGGGAGCAATGTAAACAAAAAGTGGAGTATAAGGGAAGGAATAAGGAAACAAATATGAAAATGTATATATATATATATATATATATATATGTACATACATACGTGCACATTACTTTAAAATGGTTTAAAAACTATTTTAGTGAAAAAGATGATTTTATACTTTAAAATATTTGTGAAAGAGTCTTTATTTTTTTTGCTTAAACAAGTAGGTTGCATATTTCTAACTTTGTAAGTTTTTAGTAAATTTCCAAAGTAAATTAATGTAATTTTTTTCAAAAAAACTTCATTTAAAAGAAGGGTCAAAGGGATTTTGCAAGACATTTTCTATGAAATACCAAATAATAAAAACTGTCAAACTTGGCTATAAATACTTCAAAGTCAAGCAATGAGATCTTATGAAACCTAATCCATCTTCAAATTGCAAGATAAACTTTTAGATTTGCAATGAAAAATTATTTCTTTGAGAAAAAGTTACCTTGTTTAGTTTCTGTAGTAGTCCTTGACAATATCATATGGCTATTAAGAAAATTTTACACCATTTTACTAAAATAAAGGAACATCTATTTTTTATTTTTTATAATATTTTGTGTAGAAATTGGAATGTTCTTTCTATCCTTCAATCCAAATTTACTAAAAAATATTTCAAATATGTTTTCATTTATTTGAGACCATTTTTATTTAAAAAGACCATTCAATCTATTATAAAGCTTCTTTCAAAATTCTTCAAAGAAATATCTTCATTATCAAATCTCATTACAGAATAGAGCTCTTCAAGCATTTTTTTTATTTATATTATTATTGTTGTTATTGCTACATAATAAATAATAGATTACTTGATCATTTTATTCTAAAATACTCCAAGATAGATATAATTCTACTAAATTTTAGAATTATTTAATATCTAATTATCTCTAGTTACTATCTACTTTGGTAATTCAATGTTTTGACTCACTTCTTCAAATATAACAATCTTCACTAAATATATATTTTTAAACTAAAAATAAGTATTTTTATTATATTTTATTAAGACTAATTTTTTCTTCTAATAAATAAATTAAAATTGTTTATAGAAATATTTGGCTTGTAATCCTATAACATCTATTTTTTAATATTTTTATGCTTGGCATTACACCACATTGTTTTTTGTATGACACAACTTGTAAATTATGTAATTTAATTGATTTTTCTTAAGTTGTTGCTTAAGATAGATTGTCAACTATTAAAAACCAATACTTTGGTAATCATGTATAATATATATATATATATAATTATTTTGAGATATTTAATACTTAGTTATTATATATTTTAAAATTTACTAATATAAATATTTAGTATAATTACAAATATAAGCAATATGAGTTTTTATGATGTTTTGTAATGAGTTTTATAACACATAATAATATGTGTTGAGTTTTGTAGTGAATTTATTTCAAAACATCCACCTTAACTTATAACAATAAATTACTGTAATAAAGCTTTATTTATAAAACAATTTTTGTTGAAGGATATGTTGTATGGAGCTAATATTCTAGCAATGGTACAAGAAAGTCATAGATTTTCACAAAATTTTACTACCATACCATTCAATACTATGTTCAAATTTTGTGTAAAGTTTTCTTAAAATGTCACATAATTCCATACAAGTTTAATCAATCCATAGCTCTTTTTATACATATACGTAGATATATATCTTTTCTGGTGTACCCCGACAGTACTCAACGGGTATTGGAATTCTTGTCGAGGGTATCAATTTCCGAAAGGGTATTACATGTTTCAATCGCTGGAGAGCTTTTGATTCAGCTATGGTGGATTAGGGCTTAGGGGTTTTGTTGTGAAGAATGAGAGTTGGAGTTTCCGTTGTGTTGTTGCAGTGACGAAGAACACGATGGGGAAGGAGGTGGGAGATGTGACGGCAAGCATGCGGCCGCAGCTTCTAGGCAAAGTGAGGAGGCAGGCGGCGAAGGTCGTAGGGACTTTACTGAAAGGCGACGCTGATCGGCGTGCCTCTGCTTCAATGAAGTCTCTGATTTACGCGCCCTCCGTAGTAGCGAAGAAGGCCACTCTTGCTCTCACCTGCCAAACTTTGAAATGTAGGTCATTCGACCTAATTGAGGAATTCCAGTTTTGGACTCAAATATATATATATATATATATATATATATTTCTGTTTTTGCTTGGCTTTGTTTATATCCTGAATCCTGTGTAGCATTCTTCTAATTGAGGGTTGTGATTAGAGTTTAGATCAAATGGTGCGGTATGAAGTTCATGGCGACGTGGACGTCTCTGTCATGCAATGCTTTTGATACAAGCTTTTGATCATTGTTAGAGCCATCCACCTACAGTTATACTCTTGCTGAACTGGCCGTTAGCTACAATTTTTTAATTCTATTTGCAGGATTTTCTGTTGGTACAGTTTGTGAGTGGCTTGAACTTTAATGGTTATTAATTTCGTCAGCGTTGTGACCTTGGTATGGCTGGGAGGGTTCAAGATTATCGTAGTGTTGTTGATGCTTCGATTATGGCGGGATACGGAAGAAAATAGCTACAGAATCGTTCCTATGTAGAGTTTAGTGATAAACAGAAGCTTCTTCTAGGAGTTATTCATTACATTGTCATGAACTTGTACTTTTTCGTGGATTTCAGATCTTCCAGTTTTGAAGGAAGTGATAGCTTTCACCGATTTGCTTAGTGGTAAAAAAAAGGTGACCTCCTGATCATTCTCTAAACGGTCATGCTTTAAAGCAATTACAGCAAAGTACGTAAGACTTATAATCATCAAAGTAATTTTAGTTTCCCTTCTGAATTTTTCCTTTTTCGGCGCGAATCTTCTTTGTAAATTCAAACTTTGGGTTGTAAACTTTGAGACAGATGCCCGTGGAGCTGGTCTATGTGCTAGTATGCGACCTTTTATTTGGCCAGGTTAATTTCTACACTACAAGCTAGAATCGTTCAGAAGGTGTTAGTTGGAGACTTATTTAATCAAGTGTTAATTGCCCACTGGCAACGCTGTTTGGTGTAGTGCAAAGTGTTCCTAAAAGTTCGCTCTTTCTAATTAAGCTATTTAGAAAAGTATCGTATGATTTTATTATAAACTAGAAGTACGAAGGTCATAGTGATATCATCCCATCTAACATTAGATGATATGTGTGGATATCTAGGATGTTACAGACACTGGCGATGCAGAGAAGCAAGTGTTAACAAGGAAATCTGCGCTGCGTTCTGCTCTAGCTCGGCTTTTAGTGAAAAGAAATGTTTCAAGTGCTGAGGAGCTGTTACCCTTGGAGGCGCAGAATTCTGGTGTGGTAACCACTTAGTGTACTCAACGATTAGAGATACTTGTGTGCACAAAGTTCATTTATGTATCAAATTCCCTCACTTTATTTTCCTAGGTATAGCGATTTCTCTAACTGTGTTGTATATGCAGGTCCTGCGATACCACGATATGTTCGGGTGAATACTCTGAAAATGAGCACTAGAAAAGCCATTACAATTCTTCGTGAATCTATCAAAGATGTGAGATATTTTCACCATGTTCAACGGATTATGTGGTCTTTTATATAAATCTGATTCAATTGAATCAAACGACAAGGAAGCATTACTTCCTTTTTGGATTCTTGATAGACATGTGACCAGGTGTTTGATAAATTCAGGCTCTCCTCTATTTGAGATAGTCGTATAATGCCAGCTGTATGATTTACGAACTTTCTTTTGACACCCTTTGATCTGGTGTGCAGGTAGAGATAGATGACCTCATACAGGACTTGCTGGTGTTGCCTCCAGGCACCGACCTTCACAAGCACCCCCTCGTCTTAAACGGATCTATTGTATTACAGGTAACTAATTACTACTTGTGCGCATATGTCGTGCTTATTGAATAGGTACACTTCCTTATAGCTTTGCACTGTACATGCAATATATGTTTGCATCTCTTACTTCAGGCCCATACACAAACATCAAACAAAACTTGTACTTTGTTGTGACAAAATTCTCTCTTTTTTTGGCAGGGAAAAGCAAGTTGCATGCCTGCTCAAGCACTGTCACCAGCTTGTGATTGGGAGGTTAGATTAGGATTTCATCTTACTTACTTTTACTTCAGATAGTCAGAATTATTGTCATGATCCCTTTACTTTATTCTACAAGAAAAATATTTAACAGTGTTGCAGGTGTTGGATGCTTGTGCAGCCCCTGGAAACAAAACAGTACATTTGGCTGCTTTAATGGCAGGGCGTGGCAAAATTACTGCTTGCGAGATCAATGAAAAAAGGGCTCAGAGGTTGCAAGAGACAGTGCGATTAACGGGAGCAACTAGTATCCCATCCATTTCATCTAATTGTACTTGTCTGAAGTATGTCTTGGATTAGATTTTCAAATTGCCGAAACGGACTTTCCTGAACTGGACGTAGATGTTACAGTCCGACAGCAAGATTTCTTGACAATCGATCCAACTCTGCCGGAATTTACCAAGGTACTAGGAATGTTTAGGATTGCTGGGGCAACACCCTCTTGCAGTTTTCCTTAGTTGGCTGCCTATGGTCTTCGTGTGAATTTGGAATGCTTTAGGTACAATTTGGCAAATTACATATTCTTTTTTTATTCTTTATTTTTTTTAGCAGTCGCTGGAACAGTATGTGGATGTGTGCTGATCCCAGCCTGCATTTGTCATGTTCATACGTGAACTTTCAAATAATTTTCAGGGTTGATACGTGTGTTTTAGGTGAGGGGAATATTGTTAGATCCATCATGCTCGGGATCAGGGACAACTGTGCAACGATTGGACCATCTCCTTCCATCTGCTGGAACGGGTAGGTATTGTTTTCGTGCGTAATTCTAAAGGTTTTGTTATTTATCTCGTTCGGCTTAAACTGTCTCAAGCAATAAGTAGGCTTATTCATACCAGTTTCTAGTATGAGTCTATAACTTATATCCAAGTCTAGAATGTTGAAACTTCATCGAGTACGACATGTTATTCGGACATTGGAATCTTGCATTGGAGAAGGTTGTGTTCCGTAGGAAACCGTACTCTTTTGACTTTGTGGTATATAAAAACTTGCGCTCAAATGTTAAGTACAGTATTATAATGTTCTTCTAGTAATCCGTGGACACTTGAGATTCTTACTCATGGTCCGGATGATGATTTTTTTTTGCTGAAGTGGAGACATCATGAATGCATATTTCTATGTCTATTTGACGGGCTTTGTGTTAGGAGGCATTGAATTTATATACAAATTTTGCTAGTTAGCTACTTATTTTTGTATGATTTGTATTCTGATGCACTTTGTCAGAACCATAGGTTCATTTTGTTTTTTCATATTATTTTTGGTTTGTGATGTGTTTGCAGATAAAAACGATGATCAAGAGAAAGATAGAATAGAGCAGTTGGCAAGGTTCCAAGAGACAGCTTTACTTCATGCTCTTTCATGTTAGTGACAGTTTCCTTTCTTTTCATGCTGTTTTATGCTGTGTTTTATTTGCTTGGGCATAATTTTTGTCACTTTTTTCTCTAAATTTATTGAGCTTAATTTTTTTACACCGACTTATATTTAACAGATTGTTTTCTTTTTCACTAGTAATGGTGGGAGAACTGTGTTTTTGTGGGTTACTCAATTGATGCGATTGGTAGTGCATTGATAGTGAAATATTCACTAATGATGTTGCAATTCTGGAACAGTTCCTTCTCTTGAAAAGTTGGTGTACAGCACATGCTCCATTCATCAAAGAGAGAACGAGGATGTTGTTTTGGCTGTACTGCCACATGCTAAAGAAAAAGGATTCGAACTTTCAAATCCATTTCCAAGTTGGCCTCATAGAGGTCTTCCTGTCTTTGAAGGAGGTAAACTATTTTTGCAGTCCTTTTCTTTGGTGCCTCTCATGGCTTGTCAATGTGTATTTTCTTCGCACTAAACCTTAACAGGTTTAACAGATGCCTCAGATAAGTGCCTGAGCATTCGTTTTAAAATTATCCTTTTGTTTTCAAGTTGCGATTGCCAAGTTTTAGATGGTTGCAGTTAAACTTAAAACCATCTATGCATTCCATCAGATTTTCCTGGGTACAACTTTACTGCGGGTTGAACACTTAATTTGTCCTATGCAGCCGATCTCCTTATTCGTACAGATGCTTTAAGGGACAAGATGGATGGATTTTTTGTAGCATTATTTGTTCGCAAGTCGAGCAGTTCAACTAGCAAAAAAGCCTCCGATGAGTTAGAATCACTAGACCCTGAGGGTCACTGCGAGAAAGAGCAGGATGCCAGGACCTCACTGCAACGACGCAGGAAACTTAAGAGGCAACGCAAAAAGGAGCAGCAGGCCCTTAATGCAAAAATCAACTGACAGGTGGAGTACCAATGATCCATTAGACAAAACATAATCTGGGACATTTCCTAAAGGTTTACCAGGCGGTTTGCTATCATTTAATACCATGTGCTCGCCGTGAAATACTTAGCGTGCAGCATTACAGATGCCACTCTTTTAGAATTTTAAGTTAGATAATTTGGCTGTATGAAAATGTTATTTTCTTCACAAAATTATGGTTGAATTATAAATCCAGAGGTTGTTTCCTGATTTACATTTCTTGTCATGTCATTTTCTGAAATCATTTTTTGGCAATAGGGTCTTTGCTCTCTACATTTTTATCTTCAACTACAAAATCTAGCTACTCCTACAATGTCTATTATTTCTATTTCATGAAGGTCTTTTTTTTTTTTTTTTTTTTTTTTTTTTGGAAACAACCCATCTATTATGTGCAGTTCTTGGAGTTTTCCAATCTGTAATAGTTTGCACCTTTTTATAACTTAGTTGCAAGTTATCTTTTGATACAATGTACTTCAAAGATTTTACTTTTATGTGAGATGTATTTTTCCATCTTAGCATATAATTTTGCATTCCCAAATCTTTGTAAATCAAAGCAAACATGTAAAACACATAACAAAATTATTTGAATATTCTTGAAATATATTGTTCATCAAATGTTTGTTTAAAAACATCCAAGAAAATTTTGATCTTGTTCCATTCAACTTTTTAAGAATATTAATCTTTGCCTTTGTACTTGTAATAGTATGACTATTTGGATTCACTATATAATATTCACTATATTGACAAGAGTGAGGAAGGCCATTCTTTGCCTCTATACACAATCTCTACTAAAAAACTATATAGTAATGTCATATAGCCTATATGACGCTTGTCCAATTTGTAGGACACATATTTAATTTGCAAGACAAGTTTTTGACATGTACAATGTATATTAAAAAACATGCTTGTAAGCATTTTTATATCTATTGTCTAATGAATGACATTTTTATTTAAACTAAGATTAAAATAGGATTATATATAAAAGCAATTTCATTATTATATTTACTATGTTATAATGAATCTTTTTGAGATAATAAAAATAACTAATGCACAATCTTGCTTGCTCTATTTAAATTTTGAACTTGCTAATTATGAATTAAAAATTAAAATTTTAATTTACTTTTGGTTGTTATTTGATATACTTCATGTTTTATATTTAACACAAACTATATACTATCTCTAAACTTAGTTCTTTTTATATTGTTCTTGGCTATGTATTGATATTTAGGCCAAATTTACAATGAGTTTATTTATAATTCTTTTGATAATTTTTTACTTTCAATAAGTTTCATCTCATTGATATTATTTCTTATTAGAATTAATTTCATATGTTTTATTTCATCATCTCTTTTTGAAGTGTATATCCTTTACTTTTATAGAATAGAAGATTGTAGAAATACAAGCATTGAAATGATATTATTGATGTTTGAAGGTTGATCTACTTAGATAGGCATGTTATTTTCATGCACATTTACTTCTTACCTTCTCTCTTATAAAAATAAATTATTGATCAGTTTATTACAATTCTAATCCACATTCTTGATTATTCCTACTTTTGAATTAACAATGTGAACAATGTTACAATTAAAAGTTCATAATTTTATATTTAGCACAAACTTCTTTAATTTAGTTTGGGATACAAGTCTACTTTGTCAAAATTTTGAACTATCATAATCTTTCTTAAAATCCATGTCTAATCTTGTTGGTAAATTATTTTGCCCTTGTATACATCCTAATCAATTTCTTCCTATCATTTGAACAAAGTTAAATATATGAAGTTATAAAATCCAATAATTTGAACAAAGTTAGATGCATGAAGTCATAAAATCCATCTTGACAAGCACATTATAAAATTGGGTACAAGATCAGAATGCTACTAAGGTTTCTCATCAAAAGCCAATTGATGCAATTCAAGAATGAGCTACAATACTACAAACTAGTCAAGTGTATGAATCTCAAGGATCTAGAATCTTAAAGAGAAGTTTTTGTTTTTCTTAAATGCAAGCTCTAATGCTCGTGATGGTTATTCTCATTGTTCTATAGAAACAAAAATATATCTTTATATTTATTTCTATTATAAAGTACATCAAGGAAGATATAAATCATAGGGATAAATCAAGAAGATTGTGCATTAGTTATTTTGAACTAACATCATTTGAAGTAAAGAACTTAAAGGGATTTAAAATATTTCAATAGCAATTTCACATTCTCAAGCCTTAAGTATCACTGGATTGTATTCTTTATTTTTTCTTTCTTAAAAAATAATTTTATTTCAATTTATTTTTCTTTCTTTCTTTTATGATTTATTTATATATTTATTTTCTCTTTTTGTCTCTCTTTGTATTTTTTTGTTTATTACTTGTAATTTCATTTGCTGGATGTTTTCTCTTCATGAAAAAAAAAAAAGAATATTATAGAATTTAAATCATTCATATATTCTTCCATAAGTAATTTTTTGTTTCAATTTTGGTAACTATTATCCATTTGTTAAGAATTGCTCTTGGATGCAGTTTAATTATTGGTATATTTAAGCATGTGCCATTGTACAAAGAATAAATACTTATAAAATCACTAAAAAAGGCATTAAAAAGTCAACAATCTACTTAAATACAAAGAAAATGAAAAACAATCAAATTTCAAAGACTAAAAAAATACCAAAACCATTCCACTTCTTTATTGTTCATTCTACAAATATCCTTTTTATTTTAAGATTTGATGTATAAAATATCAATTCATCCATCCACTCATGCACAGTTAATAGTAGAGAAGCTTAATGGAGAGAGGAGAAGGGAAGAAAATAGAAAGAAAGAAAGTAGAAGTCTTGATGAAAATTTTTTTGGTTCTATCTACTAAAAAGATGTTGCCTACATCTTCATAAGATACTTCTCATTAATTTTATATTCAACCTTTTTATTGAATCAAAGCAAATCATTTTTTTACATAGAAATAGCAATAATAAGCAAATATATAATTGTGATGAGAAGGTGGTCGTACTCAATCATGTGAGAGAATGTGCAAAAAATTACTCCATAAAGACATCTTATTACGGAAATGAATTTAAAAGAAAATAAACTATATACACTCTTATGTTATTTGAAAAGATTAAAAAGTCTCTTAAAGATAATAATATATTGAACTAGAATGGCTATTGCCAAAGACAAGAAGATTAGAAAGTCTTAAAATAAAACTAAGAATTGGAAAGACATTGATAAGAGTAAAGAAGGTTTTACTCTTGCTTCCATATATACTATCTAATTAAGAGCTATGTGGCGACGTTCAATAGGACCTCGAATATGTGTCCAATTTATCAGATATGTGACTTAACTTGTATTATAATATGAATTTTTAATTATAAATGTGATCTTTAGGAGTTGTTGGTGTTGTTCTTAATTGTATTGATGACTTGATTGATATTGTTAATACATCATTTGATGATATCTCTAGTGTGTCGACAATGAAAACTTCTATTATACTTTTTGGTAGCAACTTTAGACTGAGCTCTTGATTTGTTGAAGTCATTTTATGCACCTTAGGAGGTACACTATCATGATGTAATATAGCTAATAGGTGAAAGAGTGAAGAAAATGTTAAATTATAGAAGATCTTATTTCAAAATATTTTAGCAATTTATCTTAGAAATATAGATAATAATCAAAAGATAGTAAAACTAAAAATGTAAATGCTATCTTTTTACAAAATAGACCTCTATTTATTTTGTAGGATAATAAATAAGATAAAATAAGGTATATTAGAAAAGTAAAGGATATAGGTATATATATAAGGGAATTAGGAGTTGATTTTAGTAAAAATTACTTCAAGAAAATAAGAATTAATATGCGAAATGAAGAGGTTGCCAACTTGGATTGAAATCAGACCCTAAGACACAAAATTGCACACTTATAGTGACTTTGGGATTTTTTTATAAATCAAAGAGTGGAATTTGAAAGAAGAATTCATAAGATTTCTTTGAGCATGAATTTTGAATAATTTGAGTTTGTAATGTCTTTATAAGAGCTTTGCAAAGTCAAGGTTGTTTTGGTGAATCTACTTTTATTAAAATAAAAATAAAAATAAAAATAAATTATATTTAAGAAAATTTTGTGAATTTGGTAGTAGATCAAAAAATAAAAATTTGTGGATTTGTGATTATAGTTGTTCTTATTGCATGCTATAAATTTAAGCTCGATCAAATGATTAGATTGAAGGTTATTGAAGTTCAAGTAGATTGATGTCTTAGAAATAGGATTTTGAAGATTAGTAAGGGTTTTTAAGATCTATAGAAATTTACTAGTTGGATTGAGGTGAAATTTATATTTATTAATAGTAGACTTGATTTTTAAGACATATGTGAATTTTAAAAAATATTGAATGGAGGAATTAAAAGATTTTGGCTTGAGAAGGTTGGCATTAAGATTGGAGAAGGAGGCTAGCCAAAATCCAAGTAGATTTTAAGATTTACCTTCTATTTGGTTAGCTCAATTTTCTTTAAAATATTTTCATTTGTTGCGAGCTTAGTTGTTGAGCTTAGGTGTGTAAAATTTGAGTTAAAATCAATGGTTTGATTGTTAGTTTTAGAGGTTTCAATCTATCTTAGGATTTGTCAAGAATTTCTTTAAGATGTAAGATTAATTTAGTGTTTAGGATTTTTCTAGGATTTGATTAGGATTTGATTGAAATTTGTCTAGAATTTTTTTAGGATTTGTTTAAGATTTGATTAGGATTTTTTTGTATTTTTTTAATAATTTATCTAAAAATTTAATTGAAAATTTAATTGAACTTAATCAATATTTGATTATGTTTGTTAAATTTTAATTATAATTTATATATGATTCTATTAGAGTTATTAGGACTTATTTTTGTAATTTTTTTTACCTTCTACAATATGGTGTTCAACACATTCTCAAGCAAGGCTTCACATATTACAACAATGTTACCTTCTTTATTAATAAATTTTATCATTGTACCTTGGTCTAATGTATTATATTGTGATGTTGTATTAAATCCTAGAATTTTTTTTATTAATAATAACGTCTTTTCTTATAATAATCTTTTTATCTTTTGAACTAAATAATCAATAATCTTTTGTAAATAAATCATAAGCTAGGAATACACATTAAATTATTTTTGATTGCACTTATTTCTTTGATTTTCTAGTGTATATATATATATATATATATATATATATATATGTGACTCAAAAACTCTAAGATGTGTGATGTTTGGTTTATATCCAATGTACCTATCTTTTGGGATAAATCTTCCATTGTTTCTCAAGGAAGCATCTCTTAATTAAATAAGTTGATGTATTGACAATTCTACTCCATAAGTGAGTTGGAACATTACAAGAAAAGCACATGATATATGCATATTCCAATAAGGTTCTATTTTTATATTTTTCCATCTCATTTTGATGTAAGATATATAATTATATTTTTTAATATATTATTCCATTTTGTATGAAAAAGTTGTTAAAGTTTGCAAATTTGTATTGTCTTCTTCTATTGGTTCTAATAATCTTTATAGTATTTCTTAATATTTTTTGATCATGAATTTGAATTCTTTAAAAAATTATAGTACTTGAAATTTGTTCTTTAAAAAATATGTCTATGTTTTTTGAGAGAAGTCATTTATAAATGTAAGGAAATATTTTGATTTAAAGAGTGATTGTATTGATATTAGCCCACAAAGCTCTGAGTATATTATCTCATTTCACTATGTGGTTCTACTCTCTAATAATTTAAGAATATTATTTTTTCTTTATTTTTCTTGCATGCAATAAGGATATGGTTTATATTGAATTTTCAATTGCAATGGTTCTTCTACTTTATTTATTATTTCATATAGAGTCCTAAAATTCATATTTCCTAATTGAGAGTGCTATAGAGCAATTGAGTTGTCTTTATGAAGCATATAAATTGGTGTTTTATCATAGTTGGACTCCCTTTTATATAGTCTATTGGTAGGATCTCTTGTTTTCTTAGCTAATAGCTTAGTTGGATCTAATACACTTGTAATATAAAAATGTATTGATTCAAATATGACAATGTATCTTTGATCATTAATACTTCTAACAAATAATAAATTCTTTGTTATTCTTGGTACATATAAAGTATTACTAATTTGCTTTACTTCTCCATCATATTCAAGTAATACATTCCTTTTACCCATTATATTATAAGAGGTTCTACTAATAAAGCAAACATTAGCTTTTTTAATTGTTTTTAGCCCAAACTTATTTGAAAAATTATTTGAGACATGCTTTGTAGCACTTGAGTCTAAATACCAAGTAGATTTGTGTTTGTTGACATTTATAGAAAGTATAGATGCTTTAAATATCTTTGAAGCTTTTGTTGACTCTTTTGCATTGCCTTCTTGTATTGTATTAACTTATATTCTATGATCTAGATGATGAATTGCTTGAGGAAAAGAGCAATCTGATTTTGTGCACTCTCTAGCAAAATGTCCCTAGATACAATGGTGGTCTATTGAACTTGGTGTTCATTAGTCCTCCTCTTGATGTGTCATTGTATATTGTATATTCTTTGTTCTTTGTAAGAAGAGTCTAGATACCTTCTTCAAATTACCAATACAACTTCATTTTGTGTGACATTGTCTTCTTATCTTGCTTCTTCCAATAGAAACTTTCTACAAAGTTTTTCAAAATTGGACAAGTCATCTTGACATATCACTGCTTGGACAAACACATCATAACTTTTGGAGAACACTCCTAAGACAATTTGAATGACCATAATATTAGCCAATGTTTCACTAAAACTAGAAAGTTGTGTAACCAGCTCTCTTATCCTTTTTGATAAATTCTTCTATATTATCATATCAGTGAATTTATTAAAAAAAATGCTTTTAAATACTTATGCAATTTGCTAAAAAAAAACCAATGATAAAAAATGTATTGGACTCTTAGGCAGATAGTCTTCTTCTTCAACTTGTCTTTGATACATAAATCACAAAAATAACTTTGGTTGTCCCTTTAACCTCTTCTTCCTACAAGTTCTTCTTAGCTTGCTCTTCAATGATATATTCATTACAATGGAATGTCCTTCATGGTAAAGATTAATTAAAAAATAAAATAAAACAAAAATAGAATTTTACTTCCCTCCCAAGGATGGCATTTCGATAAACGATTGGAGAGTGAACAATACAAACATAATATAAATTTAATATAATACAAATTTTGTAGAAGAGTGGTGAGAAGTCAGTTTCACTACATTTTCTTTGCTTCGTAAATGTCTCACACATCAAAATTGAAAGGGCAACGAATGCAAAAGCAATACGACGTTACTCGTGAACCGAGTCCGGGGTTGGTTTTAGAAATTATAGTTTCAGAAGACTCATTCAGTGATCGCTGCAGAAGACGTGGGTGAGGTGCACCCGCAATGCATCTAAACTTGCTGCTAAATTAATGGTCACGTTGATCGGTGTGGAGATCTCGAACCTCGTCTTATTGGACGGCTCAATGTCTTGTGATCCTACACAAGGAGTTTCGCAAGTAGTCAATTAGTTCAAATGCGTCAAGTGTTGAAGGTCGCCTGTCATGGTTAACAATCACTGCTCTTATTTACACAATGAGAGATATTCATGGCATGGATCCCACATTTTGAGTAGGTTGGATTTAACACAGTGATAAATACCAAATCATCGTTCCAGGTACGGCCTGCTGTTCATATCATCACCTTTCACTGCACAGCAGACCTTGCATATACTAGCAAAGTCTCTTTGCTGTAACTTCCACGACTTCCATGATTGTTAATTATAAGTTTATTCTTATTAGCACTATTATCATCCTTTGCGGGGAGAGGTTGGCCATTGTTGAATGTTAGTGATGTGACAAGTCCTGCGAAGTGGGGACCGCATTGGCATATTATGAGTGCCGCTTTGAAAAAGTTTCTTGAGCACCATACACAAGAATTCCTGCCGTTCATGACTAGGACATTTCTGCAAGTTGGTGACAGATTCACGTTCAGCACAGAATGCAACTTAAGGATTCAGATCCCTCATGACACTTTCGAGATCGAGACGTAGCGCAATCGCCGTTCATGTTGAGTAAGAGCTAGAGCAGACATGTGATGCCCTGAATTTAGACAGTATCCCAACTCAATTCTTCTTCGCAACACTTCCAGGCGCTGGCGGAACTCCACCAGCGCCTACATGCTGAGTCGACCGTTTCTGTGATCAGCATGAGGTTCACTGTTCCTGCCCCATGATGCAGTTCGTCGGAAAAAGTGCTGATGCCACGGATGTCCTTTACTTTCCACCATTGATGCAGTTCCAGACGTGGACTTTCTAGTACCAACTCCCCGTTTTGTTCGGCCTATCGGAGACGGACAAATATCTAGATAAAAAGCGGGCCTGAGTTACTTCGGGGAAGGATATTATCCCGCGGCCTCTCGGTAATGACGGGGCCACGCCCATTCCTCGAACGTCCGCCTTCACAATTCGCCTGAAATTAAAATTGCAGTTTTCACGTCCAGAAATTGCTGACATTTCCCAAAGCTTCTCCACGATCAGAAAACCACATCAGCTGCCTGTTGAGAAAAATCTTGAGTGCGTAACATTTTCCACCCTACACAACTTCCAAGTATCATGAAAAAGTCACGCACACGTGGAACCTTTTTCTCGCTAAACAGATTTCTCACGCAACTTTCTCCTTGCGCAACGGCGATGACGAGTATCCTTCTCCCCTCACAAAAAGCAATTCATGCACACGAATTTGGATTGCTGAAGCCTCTGGTTACGGATACCCCGAAGCTCCCATTCCTCTTAAAGCGACGTAGGGCAAGGCCACTTGCGCATGGATGGATTGAGTAGGACTCTGGTGCAAATCTCTGTGCTTTGCCATGGGCTTAGCCCTCCAGGCTTTTTTCCTGGCCGAGGCTCCTCAGCCACGGAAACATGACCGACGACGGCCGAGCCCGATTAAACAACGGGCATGACCGGGACTGGAAGAGCGAGATAGTGACCTCAGCGTGGAACATCCTCCATCCTGTCCTGGACCAATCCCTGAACTCAGCGCCACCCAGTCCCTTTTCTGCCCTCTCATTGGCCCATCGACAGCCTTAAGTGAACCAATCCGCTTGCGCGCCTTAATAAAGGAAACTGTCTTCATCCATGCTGCTCAGCCCGTACCTACTTCCCCGCGTTCATCCGAAGGGGCTTTGTTGGTGGATGGATGTGGTCATTCGTTTATTGTCCTCACTCATTCAGGAATTCAGTTGTTTTGATCAACATGGATGTGGAAATCGCTCTCGTAAATAATGAAAATTGGCACTTTAATTGGCCAATCGGATAAAATAATTAAGAGGGTCTTGTTACATTGGTTCGAGATAGTAGGAAAAAAAAAAAAAAAAAAAAACACTCATCACGATAGTAGTAATCATAACAAAAAGTTTGTTTGATCAATTAAAGTAATGAATTTAGCCATTGAAAAAGTTTAAACTGACATCAACTTTTTAAAGTCACTACTAATTGTTTATTTGATTATTTTTATCCGTCGCCACCTTCATTAAGAATGATACTTTCAAAGTTCGCTTCGTGGCATTAGAATTATTATATCATTAGACTCAGACGTAAACAATTTCTAAAAAAAGATACAAAGATTGAGTGGTTTGTGAGTGTTTATTAAAATATCACCAAAATTTAACTGTATGGTTAAATTATCACACTGCCAAAGCGAAGTGGGGGTCCCAGGGAGCAGGTTGTGATTTATGATTGGAACATGTTTGGACATGATTCATGTTCAAAAAGTGATTCAATCTCCCAAAAAGTAAAAAGTGACAGACCAGTCCACTTTACGACGAATGACCGATTCTCACGGTGGATGGATGGCCGGATGCTCTGATGGATGGATGACCAGGACAGAAAATGAGTGCGCAGCCAATTGGGCAGGCTCAATGGCTGGAGCAATCGCCTCCATTGAACCTCCCACGATTAGGGAAGAGAATTTGTTGGTGTTCCGTTGACGAGATTCAAAGCGACGTCGCAACCGGTGTCTACACTACAACGAGAAACGCATGAACGGGCTGTTGAACGAACGAAAAAACGGACGGACAAACGAACAAGGACGAGAAGAATCTAAGAGCTCTTTTTAGAGCGTCAGGAATTGTCTCGTTTCCGAGGTGGGCTTAAGTCATTGGCTGTCAACGAAAGAGGCATGCCCAGAACTGGACAGGAGGCGCTCCACTTGAAGTTGAGCTAAACGTTAAGACTGATGCCGAGCCCCTTTGCAGCTGCTCTTCATTCTCCACCACCACTAATTCCGTTCCTGACCCTTTGTCGATGTCGAGCAACGTAGCTAATGGTAGCTCTTCGGCCAATCCAATGGCGCTGTGGAAAGGCTGCGCTGCAATCGTGTGAAAGACCTGTCGCTGTTGCAGAGTCCATGTGGCTTCTCTCGTATCGATTAAAACCGCAGCCAGTGTGGTGAGCGATGTCTCCGAAAGCGTGGTCTGCGTACGTTGGAGAGTATGTTGCGGTCGTTTGGGGGGTAGCGGTGTGCGTTCGTGCGCGGTAGAGTCGAATTTGGACGCAGGAAGGGCTTAGTCTAGGATAGAGTCGACGTTCGTAGAACTTTTTGAAGAGTTCTGAAGGCTTTTGGAGGTGTATTTCGTGAAGGGTTTGGAGGAGCAAGTAGAGGAGGTGTTTTGTGATATTTATATATATATTTTTGGCATGCTGAAGTTTGTGGAAACTGTTGTTGGTGCCGAGGAGTTTTGAAGTTGGTCAGTGAGTGGGCCTCACATGGCGAGTTAACGAAGAAATGCTCCAGTAGCGGAGAGTTGATGACGTTGCAGTGTTGAAAGTGAATCGGAGCCACAGCTTGTTGCAGGTCATGATAGTGATTTAGCCACTATATTTTGTGTACGGTTAGGTTTTCAGCTTGCGTTGTGAAGGAATGTGGAGTGTGAGTTGTGTTTAGTGATGCGCCTTTCACAGTTATGATCTGTCACTCCGATCTCGTCGGTGCAAGGGGTGCGATCGTTTGTATGCGCACTTGAGCACTGGAGGGGTTGGTGATTTACTGCCAGGATAGCTGTTTACATGGACTTGTTTCCTGCAAGGGCGTCTGGGAATTTCATCTGTAAACCAGCTACCTTTTTTTTTGTCTCTGTTTTCAGCACCAGATAAGGTTGATGCTAGCAATATGGGAATATTGTGCTCGAGGATGGTGATTGAGACGTTCGGTGAGATGCGTTTTTTGGTTTCGACGGCGGAGTAGCTGGGAAATCAATGGGCTACTACCGAGTGGTTTCAAGAGTTCAGTGTTTTCGTTAAGACTAGTACATTTTTAATAGTACGAAAAGTTTGTGGTGTTGAGGCTGTTTCTTTCACTTGATTATGCTAAACGCAATTAACGAGTGCTGCTAATCCTGTGATATACGGTGGTTCAAAATGAAAAGAGAGAAAGGAGAGAGATCTGATGGTGGTAAGCAGCAGGAGCCAGAGATTGCTTTGTTTCCTCGGTTGCATGTGGCTGAAACGAAGAAGGCAGGACCACGAGGTCCACCTCGGAATAAGATGGCACTTTATGAGCAGCTCACTGTTCCATCTCACAAATTTAAACCATCTCCAATGCCTCTGCCCCCCAATGGTCGAACTATACAGAGTCCCTCCATGAGTACCCCCATATACCTACCGCAGGTGTGGTTTACTAATACTCATGAATTGAGCCAGCTATCAGATTTTCTGAGATCTTTTCGGTACATGTCGTGGATGTTACACGAGAACTCAGTGTGTAGTTGGCGGTCTGCAGTCTGCTACCTGTTACCCAAATACACGTGTATTTATCAGTCATTGCTTGTTATGAAAATAAGTGGGAGCCGGTTTAGTTTCATGTCCTGTCGCTTACTTTTCACGATAGTAAGAAGCTGGAGAGTGCTGATGATCTATCGAGCCATGTGGCGATATGTCTCGGAGAAGTCACACTCACATCTTTCGTTGCACATGCGTAGTTTTTTGACCTTGCCAATTATTGAGTTGCAGATGCCAGTTGGATCTTACGAGAGTATGTACTCGTACATGCCCTTCAGCTACATGAAGCCTGCTGTTGTTCCAGTGATGACATGCATGCCCGTGATGAATTCGGGACAATGCGGTGTTGAAGCTAAGTCATCGAAAATTACCAGCAGTAATAGTGATAGTACTGTAATGGACGGAGCTTCAGAATCACCCTCGTTGGGACGTGCAGTTGGCCGTAAGTCTGAATCTTTGGGCCACTGCGCTCCCACCAACAAGGAAAGTCTAGGTGACGATTTCGCTGTTCCCACTTACTCTTCGGCATCACAATCTAGCAGTCAAACGGTACTCACGACTGTCCCTCCAAATCGACAAGGATCTAGACAACAGAGGGCTTTTGTAAGAGGCAAGGAGCGGTCCTCTCCGTGCATGAATCAAGTTAGACGCTTGCTGACGGAGAAGAGTACTGAGGTCGTGTCAAGTGTGCGCAAGGATGACGGTCGCGTTCCCACAGCTAGTGGGGAATGTGCAGTTGTGTCCGTCGTTGACAACGATGTGGGTTCTGAAGAAGTCAATCCCAGCGAGTTGGATGGAGCCCCCGTGGCTTGTGACGGTGGTTTTGTGCAGCCTAGTACACACGAAATCGGTCAAGAGGAGCTTCTGTTGCAGCAGAGAGACGAGGCAAGGGAAAAGGTCGTAAGACCTATCAATGCATCAGAAACCTTTGCCGCGATTGTCCCTCCCGTCTCGGTGCATAGAGCAAATAGCTTGACAGGCGCGTCCGAGCGCAATGACTTCAGCAACCAAACTTCGGAAAACCAACGTGGAGAGGGATCAAAGCCCTCCCGGCTAAGAAGAGACAGCAGTATGGAAACAGGATCTTCAATGCTGGAAAACGTAGTGATGGGTTCTATAGAATTTCGAGATGTTGTGGATGCTTTTGGTCAGCAAGAATTTTGGAAAGTTCAGATGATGATCATCAGGTATAAAGCGCCTTTTAACTTCCAATTCATTATCGATTTTTTCTTTTAGGTGCACGAGTTTTTTTTTTTTTTAAGAACGTTAGTCAAATATCTTAGGCTGCTTTGCGTTACGCAGATTTTACCCCGGATAATTTTGGGGTTATCGATCATGCATTTTCCTGTGTATTATGTGATGGTTCCTGACATCTCCTGGATGCGATTCTTTCTGATGAGTGGTTTTGTTTTGATTCTCTGACATGCGTAGGCAGCAAAAGCTCTTTGCACTACAGGTCTTCGAACTTCACCGAGCCATTGAAGTGCAGCAGCTTCTGGCGAAAGCGCTTTGTTTTTCCCTCCATGTTGATGAGGTACCACAAAAAGTTGATAATATTCTTAGGCCTTCAAGCCCTGTAGCTGAAGTTCCCGAAACACCTGAAGCCCTTGAAATCCCTAAAGCTACCGAAATTCCTGAAGTTCCTGAGGTTTCAGAAAGACGTTTCGAAACGAAGGTATGTAAAGATTTGAATGAAAACTCCAGATCAGTTCCGGAGTCAGTATCTCAACCCTTATACCCTTTACCTTTACCCTTCCAGCAGGGTTTTAATTCTGGATCAGCGTGGCCGGCAGGCCCTTATGCTGCAAATCCTTGTGCAACAAGGATGATGTCTCCCTATATGTATGTACCATATTCAGGGCCTTGCCCTCCTGGGTACGGTGCGTATCCCATGATGGATGCACCGATGCCCAGGTTTGGTTATCCTGGAGTTATGCAGACTGTCAGATTTCCTACTTGGTCGCAGCCATCTATGCCTCAGACCTGGACCAGCCTAAATGCTGCTGCAGCAGCAGCAGCATGGTATGGTCAACATGTTTCAGCAGCTGTGCCCACTGCAAATACGGGAGTAGCGTCTCCTGCACGCAATTCTCAACGCCTTATTTCTTCTGGATCCGGTCAATCAGTTGAGAATACTCAACAAGCTGGAGTGGGGTCCGATGTTGGAGTTAATCTCGTTAACAAGGTGGGCCCTTTGGATGATCGTGGGTGGGCTAAAGGTTGGGGGAGCTCGGAAAGGCAGCGTGCTTCGGGGGAGGGAAACCCCCAGAACAAAACAAGTTTTGCCGGTCTCCGAGGAGATAATGGTAACTGCCAAAATAGTGAGGACCATCGATATGGTGAGACCGAACGGGATGTTTCTGGTTGTGGAGTTAGGCAGCGAACTAACGAAGATGACCGAGGGGTTGAGTGTGATGTAGACAGCAGAGAGTATCGTGAGCCGGATTCAGAAAAAAGCTGGCCAGCTGAGACAAGCCATGCGGGACCCTTGCAAGGAAGGTCGTTGAAACATATGCGATCAGAGAGTTTAGAACCTAGTGCAAGTCGTTGGTTTCCGACTCTGTCTCCTGCTAAACGAGTTATGCATAAATATGGTGGCGTGATCAAAGTTGTCCCTCGGGCAGTTTCTGCTACTCAAGAATCGACAGCTAGTATACTGTTGTCAATCCAAACAGAGCGACGGCGCTAACGGAGGCGATTCGTTGTGCTTGGGTGTGGGAGCTGCTGATTGTTTAGGACAGTGTAACCCGCTTTTACGTGTTGGACTCAACCGCATGGCGTTCGGGTGCTGCCTGATGTTATGTTTCCTGATTCTTGGAATCTGCGCTGTGCAAAATGTCGTTCCAGACAAAGAGGTAGGACTTGTCTGCACGCATTTGTATATAATTGCTGGATGCTTACGATTCAAATCTTACACTGTTTTGGTGATGACATTTCAAACCTCAGTGAGTTTCATTTCGGCCGTACTTTTACTTTAATCGCTTTATCTCCTTGGCAACCCACAAAATTTGAAGAAAAGATGGAACATAAGTCTTTTGAGTTGCTATCCAGGATGATTAGCTTATCTGAGGTAATGATAGCCGTTATCTGATTTTGGTAATTGTGGTGCTGAAATTCTCCACTAGTGAACTCTTTTTGTTCATTCGTTGTAATTTGTGAACTTCGAACATTTATCATAGAAGCATGGAGGTCTACAGTGATCTTCCCGATCACTAAATGAAATATGTGTGAGATTCAATGAAGGTATAATATATATCGTGTGTTGTTACGTTAATGGTTTATTTCAGTTTTGCCCATTGCATGTATCTCTATAGTCATAGCTATGAAGAGCAGAGTATGCTACTTTAATGACCTGATTGAAGTGGTCTTCAGTACTAGGATAACATTATTGTTTCCATCCATTTCAATATAGGTTTTCATAAGACATGTCATTTTTATGCTAAAGTGCATTATATATTGATTCTCAAAATATCTATGTTTTAATGAAATGATTAGAAAAATATTTTAGCCAAAAACTGTAATCCTTCCAAGGTTGCAGATACTTACATCACAAATGTTATAATTGTCTTCTATCTCAAGGTTGAAAGGCAAAAGTACCACTGTTCTTTTGTAAAATATTGTAGGCAGAATAAAAATTGAATAGAATTGTGTATTACCTATTAATTAAAAAATGATTTTATATATACATACATACATACATACAAAGTTAGTAAGTGGTATTCTAATTTCATATAGATAAGACATCTCAAAATAAGTAATAAATTCTCCTGAAAGAAGGATTAGATTGTAATAAAGGGTTTGAATTTTTTTTTAATGTAAGATGATGTCAATGGTGGCATAATAGACCAATAATTGTATAAAAGAAACTGTAGTACTTCATAGGTGTACTAATAAATATGGCAATGTATAGATTATAAATAACACTATTAATAGTGCAATAAATGATATTACACTCAAAGATATTATTACTGATTTATATAAAAATGATGTATTATAAATAACAAATGAGAGCTTTGCATCCAATTAAAGTTTTAGTAGAAAATTGATAAGATGAAAGGCAAAATTGGCAAAAGAAGATACTTTAATTAAGGAATTCATAAAGAACATGAGATTCTAAAGAGAAAACACAGTGAAAGAATACATCCATTGTAGAGCTACAACAACAAATGGAACATCTTTATAAAAGAGTATTTAAATACAAGCTTGCACTACAAAATATAAAAGAATCTATTGAAGTTTAATGCAATATTCATAGCAAGGACATGATTTTAGATGCATTAATTGGTATTCTAGATCCAATTTCTACTTGTTAAAAAAATCAACCATTGCATATGTAAGAAAATCTGTTTTTGTCTTTTTATACACCAATTGCATGACTTTCATCAATAATTGATAACAAAGTTTAGACGCTAGAATTAAAACTAGTCTATATAATAGAAAAATATGAAAAAAAATTGTGACTTCTTTAATGCTATTGTGGCTCAACAATACAATTAGAAGTTATAGTGCATTGTGACAAGTGACAAAAATTACAAATGGTTGCATCTGAAATGATGCACCTTTGTTAAGTTTTAACCAACTTTGAAACTTTTATATTAAATATCTTTAAATTACCAATTATTAAAATATACTTGGTATAAAAAGAGAGATTAATATATCACAAATAATTTTGGCAATAATACAACAGATACACAAAAACACTTTTATTTTTTATTTTATATATATATTAGAGTGGCTAAATATATTCAAAGAAGATGCAACAAACTTCTTGCCTAAAGGTTATTTTAAAGAAACTATTTGTATATTGTGACACATAAAGAACTTATTCTTTATGCATGTAATACTTGAGAATAATAGACATATTTAGCATATAAATTCTTGTACTTGAAAGCAACTTATTAATGGTAATAACAATAATGTAGATATACTCAAAATTTGAATTTAAAACAATTACAATGGACCTAGAACTAGTAGAGTTAAACCTAATTTAACTTAAGTATTTAACTTATTAAATATGATCTTAATTTATTATATTTTAACTCAATATGATGCTTGAAAATCATATTTCTTAATTAATTAATTTTTAAATATATTTTTCTTCTAACTCTTCTTTTACACTCCCTTCTTTTATATTTTATGAATATTACCAATTTTTTTATTGGATTAAAGAACCATTGTAGAAGAGTAGGATAAATTTTTTAAATGCAATCTCAAGATTCAAAGTCAAAAACCAAAAATTAGAGACTTTGTGATCAACTATGACCTGAAACTACCAAAAGGTGACATGCTAATATTGAAAAATTCACTATTTGAAGACCAAATGTGAAATTCCTAACTTTGGTTGATAGATGCTAGTGATTCTTTTGCTGTTTCAAGAAATGAAAGCACTTCAGTGAGTTGGCAGTGAGAACATCAAAAGAAACTCCTGAAAACTCATGAAACTGTATCTCCAAGGTGACACCTTTGGATGCTGATGAAGAAGAGCTCAACTAACTATGCATTATGAACCCAATGCAACTCTCTCCAACGCTGAAGGCTCGGAATCAAGGTGACAAGACCCCGAAGGCTGAGGGACAGATCTTGAAAGGGGAAGAGTTGGGGTGAAGGGCATGCAAAATGAACTCATGCCTCTTCACTCAAAAGACACACACACAGTTGATGTACGCCTCTTGCAATTTCTGCACATCAGACCTGGTGCCTGACGATTGACATGGGTACAGCATTGTGAGCTTGCATTGTAGGACATGCCAACAGTGTTGCGTCTTCCTTCATTGACGACGTTTTGCTGTTTTGTTTACTGCAGTGGTGGTGGTGTATGATCCGGAGAAGAAGTCAGAGCACTATTGCTTGCTGCAAACCATGTGAAGCAATGTGGGTCAACTTGTGGGTGTGTGTGTGTAGAGGAGAGGAATGCACGTTTTATGATATGCATAGTCTCACCGCTGGGGAGAGAAAGACTGCAGTGAAAGACGGCGTGGTGTTTGAGAGAGAGAGATAGGAAGAAGAAGTAGAACCATGGCTGCTCTTGTGCAAGGGTCGGTTTGCTCAGCCCTCGCATGCCCACAGAGAACGAATCGTTTTGCTGATCGAAGCGAGATTGTCACGGAATGCCTTGTGAGCAAAAGTTCTTTCTTGACAGGAGCGCGTTTGAAGACTTGCTGCAAAGGTGGTCTGCGTTGTTCTTCTCGCACTGATGTGCGTCTTCGTCCAATGAGGTGTGGTCCAAAGAAACCATCAAAACCAGGGGATCAATCGAACTCTCCAGAATCGCCGAGGTCATCCTTTTCCAAAGGGGACGGTAAGTTTGGCAGTGCTGTGTTTGAATGAGGTAGACTGACCATGGTCTATGGACAAATTGCGTTTTCTTGGACTATCTTTTTAGGGTTGTCTGCACAAATGCTGGCATTTCATCGTCTAACGGTGTCTGGATTGAGAGAGGTTGGGTTGATTAGTTTTTCGAATTATAATTTCCGTTTATTGAACTCAATCGCACGTCGAAATTTGCTTAAGAGATTCTGGCTTGTTTGCTTCATATTGCAATTCCATCTGCTCCTAATCCAGCGGCCACAGATCCTGAAGGAATTGTTTCACGAATCAAGTATCACGCAAATTACTCGTCAATGTTCAACCCGTTCAAATTTGAGTTGAAACAAGCCTACTTCGCTGCAGCTCATAGTGTGAGGGACTGTCTCATTCAGAGATGGAACGATACATACAAACATTTCAAGACGACAAATGCCAAGGCAGTCCATTACCTCTCAATGGAGTTTCTGCAGGTTGTGCTCAAATAAACCAGATCTCACTCCTGTGACGTTGAATCTCCCTTTTCAGACACTAATCAGGGATGATCTCCGTGCCATTAGAGTGGTAGAATTAGCCTGTTGTTGTTTCCAGTAATTTAGAGATAAACCAATCCTGAAGCATTCTCTCAGCATTTAGCGGTCATATTGATAACGTGGTGCCACTTTTGAGAGATTGGCGGCGCGTTGCAATCCTCCTTCCTGCTTTGATCGCTCACAGTTGGCTGCTGTAGGGCAGAGCCTTGACCAATGCTATTGGAAATCTTGAGCTGAAGAGCGAATACGCCCAGGCCCTTCGCAAGCTCGGGCATGATCTTGAGAATGTCGCTGAGCAGGCACGTAGAGCCTGCTACAATGTGTCTGTGATGCTTTTAACTGATACGATGCTTGTGCCAAAGCTTGTTTAATCAGTCATTAGTCTACAGTGCAACAGACTTTAGAAAGAGACGGGCCTGTTTTCGAAGTTTGGCTCCCAGTTCCGAGCACAATCTGGGACTCTAGCATGTTTTCTTTAGCAGGTTTGAAGCCAATACTCTATGTAACGTCTGGCTCTTGGAACGCAAGCGATGTGCAGAGGTACATATTGAATATCACTTCATTCTTGATCGTAGGAGCCAGATGCAGCCCTTGGCAATGGAGGACTTGGAAGGCTGGCATCATGCTTCTTGGACTCTTTGGCCACGCTCAACTATCCTGCCTGGGGATACGGATTGCGCTACAAGTATGGTCTTTTCCATCAAGAAATAGACAAGGATGGTCAACACGAAGTTGTCGAAAATTGGCTGGAGGTAGTGATCAAATTTGCATCAAATAGAAAAGTTTCCAAAGAACTTTAGCTTTGAGAGGTGAATTTTCAACCTGAGCGACACTGTTGGCGTCCCACATTAGTTACTCTTAACAGGTAGCAACATCGATCTTTTGCAGATGGGTTACCCGTGGGAAATTGCAAGACATGACATATGTTATCCGATCAAATTCTTCGGTAAGACGTTCGAGACTTCTGGCGGAAAGGAGTGGATTGGTGGAGAGGACATCGAAGCTGTTGCATACGATGTGCCCATTCCTGGATACCAGACCAAAAACACCATTTGCTTGCGACTATGGTCGACTAAAGTTAGTCCACAAAATTTCGACTTGGATGCATTCAATGCAGGTGACTACGACAAAGCGGCTGCGCTTCGAAACAACGCACAAAGGGTATCATTCAACCCAGTAGCATTATGTCCTGAACCTACTCTCCACCTGCACGATGTTTGATTCTCCTTGATTTTCACGCCGATGGGCATTGTGAGTTGATTGTCTGTTTTGTGTCCTAATGCTCCATCAACTGGTCAAGTGGTTTGATCCGCTGTATGGTGGCGATTGCCAGATCTGTCACGTGTTGTATCCAGGGGACGCAACCGTGGAAGGGAAGCTGCTGCGATTGAAGCAGCAATACACACTCTGCTCAGCTTCCATACAAGACATGATTGCTCGCTACAAGGAGTGGTCGGGAACCAAGGTAGACTGGAACAAATTCTCTACGAAAGTGGCGATTCAAATGAACGATACACACCCAACCCTCTGTATTCCTGAATTGATGCGCATTCTCATGGATGTCGAGGGTCTTTCATGGGATCAAGCTTGGGGCATTACTCGAGCGTGCGTAACCTCATCCTTCTGGATCCTTAACAACTCCTGATTCGCAATTTTTACAGCTGGGTCCCGTCCAAATGTTGTTGGCATTCTTTCTGGAAGTAACGGTTCATTTGTGCATGCAACGAGCCTGTTATTTTCTTTTTATTCATAAGCTTTTGGCCATCATCAGGACGGTGGCATACACAAACCACACAGTTCTTCCGGAGGCCCTGGAGAAATGGCCCATGCCTATTCTCCAAACACTGCTACCACGGCACGCCGAGATCATTGAGAGGATTGACAAGGAGGTATCAAGTTAATCAAAATATTGTTTTACCTTGATTAAGTTCTCTGCGGCATCAGACAGTCCAGCCGTTGTGATAGGATTCGTAGAATTCTGAAACATATGTCCACGCCTGTATCTAGTTCATCAAGAGCCTTGCAAAAATGGAGAGGGGGACAAAACTCGAGGAGATGGTTGCTCGCATGAGGGTGCTTGAAAACGTCGAACGTGACGAAGGCTCAAAAAAGGCATTGGAGAAGCCAAATCCTGCCGTAGTGAAGCCTTCAGTTGAACCTTACGAGGATGTCAAGGCTAAGAGAGACGGAACTAAAAAAGCTTCAATAGACAAAAAGACACCAGTGAAACTTGAGGTGATGGTGCGAATGGCCAATTTGAGTGTGATTGCAGGGAACAAAGTGAATGGCGTTGCGGCCATTCATAGCGAAATCTTGAAGAACGAAGTCTTCCGAGACTTCTACAAGGTTTTCGAGACACGATCATATTGTAATTAAACTTCTGCTATCGCAACAATGTGCATTTCCAAAATAGGTTGATAAAACTTCAGTGAGCATTCTTGAAGTGTTTGAACCAGATATGGCCAGGAAAATTCCAGAACAAAACGAATGGGGTAACGCCTCGCCGCTGGCTAGCATATTGCAACCCTGAACTTAGTGCAGTCATCACCAAATGGCTGGGAAGTCGGGACTGGGTACTTCATGCCGAGCTGTTGGCTGGACTTCGGAAGGTGGACTGTGCCTTTTTCTGTGCTCATCAGTAGAAACCTTTCAAATCTGCAATTGCAACAAGTTTTTAGTTAAGCTTCATACGAGGTCACGAGTTAACTCTCACACTTTATTTCGAAACTGAACAGCACACGACAAACCAGGATTTCCTGAAGGAATGGAGGCTTGCTAAGTATGTCCGAAAACAAAAACTGGCAGGTTTCATTAAGGAAAGAACTGGTTACGTGGTCAACCCGAACTCTATGTTCGATATACAGGTGCGTGATACTTGAAGCTTTTGAAATCCCTTCTGTAGACTCACTGTAGAAGACGGACCAGGAAAGTAAGTTTTATCATTCGCCAGTAAACGTTGCTCAACTCGTGGAACTTAACGCAACCATTGAACTCAGATTAAGCGAATTCACGAGTATAAAAGGCAGCTCATGAACATCATGGGAGTGATCCACCGGTACCTGAAAATGAAGGACATGAACCCCAAGGAACGCGCTGTGAAATACGTACCGAGGGTTTGTATATTTGGTGGAAAAGCTTTTGCCACGTACTTGCAAGCGAAGCGCATTGTGAAGCTTATCATAGATGTGGCTGCAGTAGTGAACGAAGACCCTGACATCGGAGAATTGTTAAAGGTCATATTTGTACCTGATTACAATGTAAGTGCGGCAGAGATGCTCATTCCGGCAAGCGATCTCTCCCAGCACATAAGGTGACAACGAAGGACTATACTCACGGACTAATCAGTCTTATTGCATCTACAATCACCATAATCAGCATCAGTCTTTGAAATCAGATCTTACAGAAGAAAATTATCTTGCATTGTGCAGCACGGCAGGGATGGAAGCTAGTGGAACGAGCAACATGAAGTTCGCCATGAACGGCTGCGTGCTGATTGGAACCCTGGATGGAGCCAACGTTGAGATCCGAACAGAAGTCGGCGCAGACAACTTCTTCCTGTTCGGCGCAACTGTGGATCAGATTCAAGGTTTCAGATCTGAGCGAGCTGCCGGCAAGGTAATACAAACGCCTCTCGTGCTGGCTCTTCCTACTAGCGACGTAAGTATGTTAGCTGGCTACACATGATGCGAATACGATTCATCAGGCTTCATCAACTTGCATCTCACTGCAATACTTACTCGGATCACTACCGCGTGGCTCGATGTGGCCAGTTCACTCCTAGCAAGGCATTTGAAGACGTGAAGAAGTTTATCAGAAGTGGGGCGTTGGGAAAGTACGACTATGCAGACATGCTGGAATCGTTAGAGGGAGACGAAGGATTCGGAAAGGCAGACTACTTCTTGGTTGGAAAGGACTTCCCCGACTATGTCGAATGCCAGGAGAGGATCGACAAGGCTTACCGGAACCAAGAGGTGAGACCCCACGCAAGCTCCTTGCTTTCCAGCGCTCCTTTTACTCCACAATCTTCACACATTCAAGCACCATAACAATATATACAATTATCCACTTACTACATCTGCTCGCATAAATCGTTTCCCTATCTCTACAGAACACTAACTGGTTTAATGGGTGTTGTCTGTGGAGCTTCAGAGTTGGACGAAGATGTCGATCCTCAACACAGCTGGGTCCTCCAAGTTCAGCAGCGACCGCACTATCCATGAGTATGCGAAAGAGATCTGGGGAGTAAAACCATCCCTGGTGCCATAACCTGCACACAACCAAACTGATCACAAGTCCTCGCATCTCCTACTGAGGCCGAATCTACAGCTCGGCATTCCATTGATTTACAGTCACGGTGACGCTGATCAGAACCAGCTGGTCTTTTGTACTGAGAATGCCGTTCAAACCATAACGTTCAAAACATCACTTCATCTTCTTCTTGAAATTTTGTCTTTGTTATTTTGATTTGAGTATTTGGAATAGAACATAGGTTTATAGCAGAACACATCGAAATAAAATTTGTAGCTAATGAAAACAACATGCTATCCTTTTGGATGATGAAAGGATGATGAAAAGATCTGTCATTTGATGAATCAATTGATGTGTCAATTGATGTGTCAATTGATGTGGCAATGGGTGTCATTGATGTCCAATGGATGTAGTCTCCTTTAGTTTAGTAGGTTTCACCTAATCCTTTTGTGTTAGTTGATATTGTTTGAGGATTTAGGTGGAGAAGCCCACTTAACTTGATATTTTTGTCAAGTCCTGTGAGTGTTTTTAAGAGAGAAAACTTATAGTTGTAAGATTTTGCTTGGCTATAGTGATTCAGCAATTAAGTAAACTTTAGGATTTTCTATACACACTTGTATTTTTGAATTCTCCCTTTGTTGTTTAAGAGATAGTTTGACAAGTTTGTGTTTAGATTTTTCATCTTTTCTTGAGAGTGAGTTTGTTGTGCATTCTTATTTGGCTTAGATTTCATACTTGATGATGATTTCTAGCACTTTATCTATTGTATATGACAATCTTTATTTACACAATACACAAGTTGTTGGGATTTAATTATAGTTATTAATGTTGGGATTTAATTATAGTTAATTAATGTGAGATCATTTGAAGATTGTAATTATTTTGTATTATAATGAATAATTGAACTTCAACTTAATGGCTGCTACCAATGTTCAAAGTTTCATTAAAAAAAAAAAAACACTCACATACACACAACTTAAGATAATGAACACACAATGTGTATCAAAACTTAATTTAGAACATATTCTTTATTGGTTTTATGAGAGTAAAAATTAATGAGATGACTTTAAAAGAATATATATATATATATATATATATATTTATTTATTTAATAAAATAAAATATATTAATTTTTGTGATGTTTTTTTTGGTTTGGTGAGCATATTATACATATATTGTAATAATACCATAAATAAAAAGAATTGAAAAGTACTTAATAGATTTATGAGATTTAAGAGATCATTTATTAGAAATTAAAATATAATAATATGTTATAATTTGTGATTATATATATATATATAATTTGTGATTAATATATATATAATTTGTGATTAATATATATATATATTTAAAAAAAATAAAAAAATAAATTATATATTGTACACTTTTTATTAATAATTGTTCATAATATTATCTAGAGGCATTACAATATCAAGCAATGTTGAGGACTTTTGACATCTTAATAGTCAAACACATAATCCATGTCTACACAATCTTAAAATGTCAAAAAATGTCTAATATTAAATTTACATATCAATGAATATATTGGTAATTGTGATTATAAATACCACATCACTACTTGTGAAGCTGTAAATTTTGAATGAAAAGAATAATAATAAAAAAAACACAATAAGATAAAACACTACAAAAGAGAACATCAAAAGAGGCAAGTAACTAAAAACATTGACAATAAAAACAAACAAAATAAATATTGTCTTTCAATTGGGAATTTCAAATGAAGTATAACATTAGAAAGGATTTGAAGGCTTTGAGCTAAAAAAATAATGGTGTCCTAGAGAAAGATAACTTCATCTTGGAATATTTTTCATCCAAATCTCATACATCATCCAAATTTAGTGGGGACATCCAGTTTGGTTGTGGCCACCACTGTTCTTATCACATGCCAGGTAGGAATAAACAACCCTCAATAAATCCTAGCTGGAACTTCTCCCTTGTGATGAGTCACGCAGAGCTCCAGAGCTCGCAGAGCCCTCCACATTAATCTTGATTCACAGTGTCCGGGTTTCGCAATTAGGGTTTGGAGCTCCATCACCATAGCCACAGCCAACGGCATCTCTAGTGGCCATGGCAACGCTATCGTGCTTGACACCGTTGGCGGGGCGTCAGGTCCGCACCCGCGTCGGTTTCTTCCGTGCAGCAGTGCCGTCTTTCGCAGGAGCTGCTGCGTGGTTTTCTGTTGCGACGTCATTTGAGCGTGGTTTACGGCCATCTTTCGGGTCGTGCAAGGTTTTTGGTGATAAAGAGAGTATTAGCGATGCTGGTGTGAGAATGGAGCGGCGAAGGATGGTTTCTATTAAGGCAGCTGATCAGAATGCCATTGATTCACCCCTAATGTCGAGTATGAAAGAAAAGGTGAGTAATTATGCTTGGTATGCTTCGATATTGGTCGTTTACAGTGGAATCGTTTTAGAATGAGCTTTTCTTCGTGGAGGTTTCATTAGGTTACGAAGGGAATTGGAAGAGATTAAGTGGGGAGTGGCTCGTTAATTATAAATGCAGCTTATCTCGCAGTTTTCAATTTAAGTAAAATAATTTGCAGGCAGGAAAGTCGTTCAATCATCGCAGGGTATTATAATGCGTTCTTGTAGTGTTGTAATCGAATTTTCTAGACTATTGCGAAGTTTTGGATAAGATGCTATTTCGTTCTACCAAAACCATTTGAAGAATAAAAAGGAAGAAAAAAGTACATATTAAACTTATGCAGGTTTTATCGAAAGTATATTGTGTCAGTTGATCTTTGTTTTAATGGCCTTTTTCGGTTAGTCCTGTGATATCAAAAAATTACAAGTGTTTACTTTGTGATGTAAATTTTTTGTTAAGAAATTCAAGCAGAGTGAAGTTGTGGTTATGTTCAACTTGGGTGGGCTTTATCATTATGCCCACTTATTATATATTCCATCTGGTCGGTTTTATAACATCACTGTTTTGATAGATCAAGGATTCATTGAAAGCGGAAGAGGTTTCGGTAGTGGATGCTTATGGCGATGGTCGGCATGTCAGGTAATTCCACTTAATCTCCCTTAGTATGGGCTCCCTATTGGGAAGATACAGCTCTCTTTCCTAGCCTTGATTTTACGAAGAATTTTTATACAATCCACTCTTTGATGAGCAGAAATGTTATTTTAGTTTTGATTGCAAGGATATTTTAGTAAGTGTGTTGCTCCTCCGCTACATGCGTAGTCCTTAATCAATAACCCTGTAATCCTTCTTGTTTCATTTTTCCTCAACATTCTTTTTATCTTGAAGAAAAATCTAATTTTCTCTTTCACTTTGTTTTGATCTGTGTCCCACAGCATTGATGTTGTAGCGGAAGCATTCGAGGGTCAGTCAAGGGTTAGTCGACAACGTATGGTGTACAAAGCAATTTGGGAAGAGCTTCAAAATGCAGTGCACGCTGTCGACCAGCTTAGGACTAGAACTCCAGCTGAGGCTGCGGAAGCGGGAAAGAAGTTGTAATCGCAAAGAATCTATTATTAAACTTTTTTATTGAAGAGTCACGTTAAACGCGAGTTCAATCTTCATCTTTCCAATGCATTTGATGGAGGTTGGGAGGTTGCTTGCGTGTTTTGGAATGCTGTTTTCTCAAATGCTGGTTCATTTGGACCACGGTTCTACCACTTTACTTTTTACAGCATTGTGATGTACCACTGTTCAAGGCTCACGTTTTGAGATTATTTCTTTAAAATCTAGACTGCTTGTGATGTCAGCCAGGTAACATATGTTTGAAACGAGGTTCACCGTCAGTTTTTGTTCAATCCTTTCTTCACCTGTTCTCGATGTTTAATGATCACCTCATCATAGAACTGCTTTTGTATTCACATGTTCCGGGTGCGGAAAGGGAGTACAGGGAAGCCGTTAGTACAAATGCCCATCAATCATGTATGAGACCAAGCTGCCTAGCTACATCCGTTTCTGCTGTATACCTGGCGATTCACGTTTCTGTGGCTTCATCTGTTTTGTTGCACTGAAGAACGTAGCAACACTGGTGAGAATGAGAAACCTGCAACTTCTCATGGTTGTTCTGATGCAAGTCCTTTGTAGGCTTATGGTAACCAGTGCTAACTTTCACGTTGTCAACATATATTATGGACTGTATGGGGATTCAGGATTTGATTATCAGATGGTTATTCCCAGCACCCAGTGGGGATGCCAAGGCTTTCAGAATGCCACTATAGCTGGGGGAAAGTATCCGGATTGCTATGGAGGATACAGTCTGCATATTCCAGATAATACTTGTGGTTTTAGTGGTGTCATGATTCGACCTGCTTGCAGCGGCAGATACTTTGGCAAAATACTTGATAAAGATGGCGTGGACATCGGTGACTGTTACTGGAACGATGCTGGCAATATTTCAGCCTTCGCTTGCAAACTCAACGTGTCTGACTCGAACTTCCAAATTGTGTATGACCGCCTTCTTTGCTCCACAAAGATGTGCGGGAGCTGATAAGCGTGACCATTTATACAAGGTATACAAGAAGTTGGGGCTGCTTGACCGTAGTACCATGTTGACAAGCGTAGTTGATAGTCAAAGGTTTGGCATTGTAGATTATTTTGTCATCATTTGATATTACTGCAGTAGACATAAGATGAAGACAACGTGAATGTTATCTTCAGTTATGTTTGTTTCAGAGAGTCAGTAAGTGAATGCACTGGGCCAGCTCTCGTTGCTTTTGATCTGGTCTCCTTCACAAGTTTCGCGAGGAGAGAATGCTGGTTCCACAGCAATGAGTGTTTTAGTCAATCTGTATACACAGTCTAGTTTTTGATAATGTATGCATTTTACTTCTTTATTAAGGGAAGAATTCAAGGAAATGGATCCACCATTAGACTGGATTTCGTTGTCCAATGTTGTAGTTCACCTCAGAGAATAGTGGCCCTTGGAAGTTCATCAGTAAGAAAGTCATCACTTCTCTTCCATGAGTCCTTATGACTTGTATTCTTTGAGGATTGCAGAACACAAAAATTAAATTAAAACAACGTGTTAGCTTGTGACTTTGTGTCAAACCGATGAAACTTGTGGACACGTAAGTCTAAGTCTAGTTTCGGTAGTTATAACTTACAATCCTTGTCTCTAGGTACTAAAAGACGCAATCCTTGAGTAACTAAAGAAATGCATTGTTATGATTATTATTATTGTAGCATGTTGTATGAAACTTTATTTCTTGAACAAGGCATTAAAGAAACTATTCTAATAACATCATATTCATTAAAATCACCATGTACTCAAAAACTAATGATAAAAGTTGATAATAAAATAAAATTGTAATTGGAGTGTAATCAACAATCTACAAACTTAAAGGGATATACTTCAAGGACTAGATTATTCTTATTACATCAATTAAATAAACTTGTTCAAACAGAGTAATAAAACTAGAAATTTTTGGTTGTTAGACATCAAGAATATGATTGAAAAGCATATCTGGTTACAACATACATACTTAAATTGAAGGTGATAGTTGAACTTTTGAGACTCAAGCAATATTTATAAGATTTTTGCACATATACTTAATAAGTACAAGGGTGCAACCAAGCAACAAGATTATGACAAGTAATCAAAACTACAACAAGAATCAAAGTAATTAGGACATAACAACAACTAGCACAACAATAAATCAAAGAAAATTATCAAACTTGCAAAGGCATTGAATTGTCATATCTTACATCACAATATCACAAATACTTTGTTATACTCTAAACATGATGACAAATTGTAGATAGCAACAATAATATTAGTCCTATAACCAATGTCACAACTTTTTGCAATAAGAATGCAATAAGGCTAGTTTAGATTTCAAATTGGTTTTAGCTATGTCCAAACCAATGTTAACCAAATCACACAATTTGATTTGGTTTATATATTAAGTAGATTAAACCAATCCATATTGGCTTCCACTTATTATACAATTTTTATTTTAATCTTTTTAAAATATATACCTATATATATATATGATTTTAATATTTTCTATTATAAAAAATTATTTGTGTAACAAAAATTCAAGTATCTAGGTTCATATTTTCTATCAAAAAATAATAAAAAAAACAAAACAAAACAAAACAAAACAAAATAATACAAAACATTGGACTTAAAATATAAAATAAAGTAGTAAGTATTCATATTGTATTTTGTTTTTTTATTGATTTTTTTCAAGTGCTATTAATCTATTACACCAAATTTTAGTATAATATTTAATAGATAGCATAATTCAATGCTATTTAAAATTTATAATACAACAATGTGTAAACTTGTTTAATTATATCTGTAACATTCTAATACATCTTAGATTTTTTTTTGGAAATATTTATTCTTAGTATTTGTGTCATATAGGTCTAACTTCTATAGAGCTTATAGAAGCATGTAGTCTATATAATAAATAAATTGTGGTCTTGAATCATATTTGATTTGATACAATAACTATTATTAAGTAAATTTTATCTCACCAAGATAGGAATAAAAATTCTATTATAAAACACATTTATGTCTTATATGTAAGATATACATCATAATTTGGTATTTAGAAATTCCTTGAATTTTATCTATGTTTAATTTACCAAGCTTTATTAACTTATGTAAATAATTTGCATAAGCCAAGTCAACAAATTATACATTGTTGATTTATCAAAACTTTCTTCAATATAAGTCAAGATCCACTTTGCATTGACTCAATAATTAGATAGAATTTGGCTAATAACATATGCAAGAGACGAGTTTTTTATCTTCTAATATTAGATGCAATAATTAGCTACCATCAATGTGCTAGTGACTTAAAGTAGCATCATTTCAATCATCATATTTACAAAAAGATCAAAGACATTCTTAATTTCTTATTGATTTCTACAAAAATCTCAACAATTATGTACAATATTAATCATCTAACAATAGCATATGCCATTTTTGCCAAAAATGCAATACAACTATTATACAAAATGAATTTTGATAAGATCAATAATGACACTATTTTAAAGATAGCAATTTTTCCAATAGTTTGTTATTATTAATTCTACAATATTCACCTTAAATTGGATTTGGTAACAAATGTTGTTTACTTAGATTTAAAAAGCATTAAAAACCAAAATAATATTAAATAAGCTATTGAATGTTTTGAAAATATTTATCTTTTTTAATGTTAGTTACTCAATGGTAATACAAAAGTTGTTTCTATTATTGCTAAGTATTAGTTTTTTTTAAAGAATGAGATTTAAACTTAAATGCTTGTGTAGTACACTTAGCTAAAAACTTGTATTTGGCAACCATTGTTCATGAAATAAAGACATATCAATGTTATCATGTACAAGCTATTTAATTAAAAATTTGACATTATTGCTTTGTAGGTTCTTTATAGTAGCACTTATCTAAAGTTATTTTAAATCACAATAAATGAAAATTGCACCTCTACTACATTGGTTTTATTTAAGGAGATTAGTAATAATAGAAAATGAATACATAATGATTGTTAAAACCTTAGAATCTCAGTGTTTTAAACAAAGATTTGTTATAGATCTTAGTTAAAGGTTTTATAGCAATTTAGGATTCAAACTCTAGTCAATATATTTGTAGCATAATATTTAAAGTATAAAAATGTTTAAAGACAATTGCCAAAGTCATTGCACTACATTTTTATATTTGTAGCATAATATTTAAAGATGTAGTGTAATAACTTTGGTAATTATGTTGTATAAAACAATGTCATTTCGTTATTAATAAATAAAAAAGATTGACCACTATTAGATCAAAGAATAAATATAATTATTACAATGGAATAAATTAAAATATAATTTGACACCAAAATTGATCTTAGCCATTTATATAATAGGAATCCTAGTTTAGATTGTTTGATTTAATTTAATTTGGTTGAATTTGGTTTAGAATTCCATGATTTAGTTTGGATTTAATATACTCATTCTATTATTAAGTTAGTTTGATTTAAAAGTGGCCTAAACCAAATAAAAATAAATCATATTAATTTTTTATTTAAACTATTATTTTTTCAAATATTTTTTTTAAATAATAATTTTAAAAAATTAGGAAAATACTAAAAAAACCCACATAAATCTCAAATTGATCTATTATCAATAAAATACAAATACCTACTATTTATTTTTATTACTTGAAATACAAACTTTTCATCTAACGATATTTTTCTTATTAATGTCAAGAATATGAATCATAACAAAACTCTAAAGAAGAAATACACTCTAGTGATATTTAAAGAGAAAAAATAGACAAATCAAAGATAGATATAAAATAGAAATCAAAATACAAAGAGACTAGAGATTCTTGAACTAAGTCAAAATACAAGAAAAGCATTGACAAGAATGAAGAAGGCTTCAAAATCACCTCCATATATATTATCTGATTAAGAAGTTATGTGATGATATTCTATAGGTCATCCAATATGTATCCAATTTATGAGACACATGTCTAATTTACAAGGCAAGTTTCTAATACGTGTGCCATATGGCTAAGTTTTCAACCTATTAATCACCTACAAATACTTGAAAAGTCTAATCTCCATCTATAGAGCTTCAAAGAAGCTTTTCCACAAGATATTATCAAACAAACTGATTTTTACTTCTATCTAAATCCTCTAATTTTGGTAATTACTAATATAAATATATATTCATCACAATTGAATTTTCTTCAAAATTCACCTCCAATGCCTCTCCAACTTCTCTTTGATATGACTTTTAGCAACATGCTTCTACCTTTGCACTTAACTCCTTATACTCAAATTAGTGCTTCTTTTTAGCCTCTCCATTACAACCCTATCCAAGAGTTCTATTGTCTATCCTTCCAATCCCTTTACAAAATCAATACATTATTGAGTGCAAAATTTAGAAATTGGTAGAAGAATGCAAAGCCCTAAACAATGTGGAAGAAAAATAGAGTGAAAACTAGTATGTTAATTTAAGATTCTCCAAAAAAGTTACTACCTAAAATATAATAAAATATATATCATATGATTTACACATTTTATAAGAACCTCTACAAATAAATCACAATGAATACATGATAAAATATTTTATGACTATCTAAATTTTTTAAATCATAAATACACACAAAAATTAATACTCCCTCAAAGCAAATATTATAGACATATATTCATTATAAGTACTCCATTTTAAATGTTGCCCTCTAATTTGCAAACAAGAGTTGGAATCGGATACGTCTCTATTCTTTGTTGTCGGTGAAGCAGTCATGGAAATTACTTTACTACTACTATGGTGGAATATCTAAAAAAATATTTAAGGTTTCTAACATACTTCCATCGGAAATCTCAATGACAAAAATAAAAGAATCAAATAAAAGTTTGACTTTAAGCAACATCGATCATTGATCTGTAGCTCAATGCAACATCCTTTATGGTAAGAACCATTCGCCAGAGACTCGATATCAAAATCCAAGGTAGCATCTATGAAATTTGAACAGTGTGGATCAAAAGACCAAATTTATCAAACACTATGGTCCATTGCTACAGCAACATCGCAACAATATTTTATCAGTCCACAATTTGATATGAAAATTGAAATTCTCAAGTCCGACATATCCCATCAGTTTGACACATTCTGAAGCCGAAGGTGTAACCCAGTGAACTAAATTAAGCCCATGTCAATTGATGTTTAGTACACCCAACAACAGCGAGTTCAAAATGCTCTAAGTTTCAACGAGTTATGTCGCCTGCTGCTTAGCCAGAAAAGTTTCCCTCATTTTTTCAGCTTCTTGTTTACAAGCCTCCATTTTCTTGTATTGATCAGTTACTGAAAATTGCTGACCCTGTCAATAAATGAAGAAAAACGAGTGAGCGGGCTTCTTAGTAAACTAAAATGTGGATCGTCCCTTTTGAACTGAAACCAGTAGTTAGTAATTAGTTTGAGTCGCGCAGAAGTGTACAAAGTATTCTTCACTTGCTTGGGATTGCGCATGTTCTGGAGAAAATCAAAGATTATCCTCTTGGATTGAAAGAATACAAAACAGAAATAGACCAGAATGAAAATATAGCCTCAAAACTTGACAACAATAACACAAGCAGAAATTTACCTGTTTGAGTGTAGTACGTAGATGCATGATTGCAGCTGAGAGATCCTTCGCACCGCCATTTTCTTGGAAAGTTTCAATGTATGCCTGACAAAGTTGAAGAGATGCTGTAGCATAGCTCTCAAATTTCTCCTGATTGTTCTGCCAGCTAGTGCCCTGTCACACCACAATGCATCATACAGATCGTTATGTGGATTAGTTTTCTTGAAACAGTAAAGTTGGAGAAAAGCAATTATTTAGATAGGTAGCATAAAGATAGTTCAACAAACGTGTGGACCGCAATGACATAATAACTCGCTTTTAGGATAAATCAACTATTAAACAAGCATACAGGGCATATAAGCTCATAGTTAATATATTCAAAGGATAAGCTAACACTAGCATAAAATGTAGAGAGCAGTCACCTGAAGGGCTCGGACTTGCTTCAGAGCTGCTTCCGTGCACATCATTAGGTCTCCGTTAGCACGATGCCACCTCGCTTTCAGACCCCAGATCTCACCTCCGCTAATTTTAGATTGAACAACCTAATACACGCGAGTTTTCATCTCAGCCAACAAACACAATGATAACACAATTCATTTTATTTTCTGTGTTAAAGGGTATGGTTAAGGATTCACACAACATCTGATTTAATTAAGTTGAAGAGCAAGCTTCGATCATCTCACGTCAACTTTACTAACATGAAACGGCAAATGAGGAAATGAAGTACGAGTAGAACAGTTTGAAAGGCTCGATAATATTATCAGAAAAATGATCACATCCATAAGAGAAGTTCAGCCATGTGAACTAAAACGCAGATGATAGTTATTCAATATTCAATTTTAAGTAATAAAGAAAACGTAGAAATTAGGCAAGGTTCGATCGATTACCTGATTCAGGAGCTTGCCCGTCTTCTCAAACAGTTTAACCATCTCTCTGTTGAACATAATCTGTTCTGGTGCTTCATCATTCTTTGGTGGATGGATCTCACTCTGACTTACTTCAATATCTACAACCCTTCCTTGGTCTGATACAGAAGCATCACCATGATCATGTAAATTCGAATCGGTAGAATTGGCTGAGGCTGCTACAGTCTTCAATCTCTCTACTTCTTCCACTATTTTTGTTAACGTAACCAGGTCCATACGTTTCCCTTCAGATAGCTCCAAAACTTTGTTTAGTGCTTCTAATGCCTGCGGACAAACACAAACGATTACAAAGAGCTGCCACATTGCAATAAAAAATTCTTGAACTTGATACAAATTGAAATCTCCTTAACAGAGGAAAGCTTACCGAACGTAGAATATACAAATATCATACATGAACCTGACTACAAAATACATAACCTTGATTCACACTTGCAGTACTCAAGAATATATGATCAAGATTAGACTGCTGTGAGAGCGCACACAAACTGAATACCGGACACTACATGAGCCTCACTGAACAAATGGAATTAATAAACTCAAACTCCCTAAAACTCTTACCTGGCTAAAATTTGAAATGTCCACAGAAACTTGGGCAAAATTTTCCCACATCTGCCAGCTATTTCGTCTATTTCAACCAACATCACAACATTTCATCAATTTCCAACTTCTTGCAAAACAACAATAATGTCGTGAGACATGGAATACTTCTGAGTGCTTCTGAAAAGACATCACATCATTTTAGTAAGGGGAGAGTTAAGGAAACACCATACTTGTACTTAAGGGCCTCTTTAAATGCACTAAATGCCTCTTTACTTCTTCTCCTGACCATATTCCTGCAGACAACCAAAAAACCATTCTGCAATATTATTTATGGGTAATCTCAATACGTTGACTACATCTTTCATGCAAACCACTCAAGAGGAATTGCACTCCATAAGCCTAGTTTACAACTTGATCGATAAATCGCAAAAGTCATGTAGAAGTTCGGTGCGCTGCATACAGAATCTGAATGATCATGCTTTTAAGGTAAAAGAGAAGAGAGAGGTCTTATTACAGGGCAGCTAAATTGTTCCATGACTCTCCATTCTCTGGATCTAGCTGTACAGACCGAGTGAAGGCGTTGATCGCTGTATCCACATCATTTGCCTAAGTATGTGCAACAACATTACAGCAATGTTAGACGCCAGTAACTAAAAAAAGAATGGGAAGAGAAAGGAATCAATTTCCAGCTTTTCAGTGTAAAGATATTATTCGAAGGAATCAAAATTTGGTTTTTGGTTCAAGGAACGCAATCAAAATAATTAACACATTAAGTCAACAAATATTTGGTTCTCTCAAATTTTTGCGTGGAGATAGAATATAGAGAAAGTAGGATACAACATTCCAGCTTGTACTTACTTGCACAGCAGCAGACCCAAGAGCAAACCAACCGTCTGGATGGAGAGGATTCAATTTTAGAGCCAATTTCCTGCAACAGTATATACAAAATTATTCGGAAAGTAATGCTTAATCTAATCAGACAAGGCAATCCCTTATTGAAAGGGACGCAAATTTAATAGAAAAAACCAGGGATTAATGACAAAAGCAGGACAAATAAATGAGCTGTTTTTAAGATGATGACAGTGAAACTGTAAGTGTGCTCTGAAATTGCCAAAAAGAAATCTGAAATATTACCAGTGTTCCATAGACTTTGCATACTCTTTTCTTGAATAAGAAGTACGTCCAAGGGATCGCTGTTGGCCGAAGTCGGAATAGTAACATCACACTTATCACTTCTCATAGCCAGTGCAAACTACGTAATCCTCAGTATATATGTTAGCAGTTCAAGTTACGATTAGAAATTAAGGAAAAAAACACCCAAAGGTTGCAAACATCATGTTCACCAATATTCATTAAAATGGCTGGCTCTAATAGTTGTGATAATCAAACATCTACTTCGGAACTACCATCACAGCAAAAACTTGCACTCATTCTTCAATACCGCTACATAACTGCACCCGCCCCAAAGAGAACCATGTCAAGTACAGTACCTGAGCCCGCGCATAGTGCTGATTGGACACTTCCCAGGCTTTTCTGTAGCAGTCATCAGAAAGAGTGACATCCCCCAAAGAACACCTACGATTGTGAAAAAATTATGAGCAACCAGATCAATATAGGCTTATCTCTTCAGCCAATTTTTTAAAATTGAAAAAAGTTAAACGCTCTGGAAAGGAACTTACATCAAAATAAAATATAACTTAAATTATGTATCATGGTAACTCAATTGATTTACATAACAATACGGTTGTAAAACCTATAAAAGCATTACAAATCCTCACCAAAGGCGGGGATCGTTTGGATGCGATCTTAGCCGTCGGTTAATCAAATCAGCAGCAGCTGCTTTCTTCCCTAAGAGACTGCAGCACAAACAGGCCAACAATGAGCATATATCGGCTTACGAGAACCACGCAACTCCAATGGGTTTCAAGCCGACACAATCAAAACCTTAATGCCTCATTTTGGCATTTCATTCCCAAATAAAATAAGTCAACAGCTTAATTGGTTCTACTCCAAGTCAATCGAACCGATAGACCGTACGAGTAGCAGTCAATAAGGTTGTTCCAAAGCTCGAGTTCCTCAAATACTCGCATAGCTTCTCCTACGAGACCATAACTGACCATCAACTCGGCTTGCTCTCTGCCATTCCCCACAAGCCACCAGATCCCCGGCTTCTCAACTTTATCAATTATAACAGTAAATAATTTACACGCATTCCTAAGAGTCTCTAAATACCCACAAGAAAATCAGGTACACTGTCTTCCACAAATAAAACCAGCTAAATCTTTTTTTAATATGCATTCCCAGTTCGAACACTCGAACGCATATGTTTTCAATCGTTCAAGACCGCACTGCATAACAAACGGAATGAATTAGAATGGCTTCAATGTGCATCGAATAGTTGTGCGTGAGCAATTACTTCAAAAAGGATGGCATCATTGGGAAGGCCACAGAGAAAACATGGCACATTCTGACATTTGTTTTTGTAGTACCCCTTCTTATTTCCTCCGCCTGCACAACAATTGAAAAGAGAGGAAAATCTGTAACGGGGTAAGCATGCACTAAACCAAACCAACAAACCTCAGTTACCAGGTGACACGAAGATAGCATAGACGAGTTTGCTGACCATGCGTTCTTCAATTGCGACACCACTAAATTTTTTCATGGTCCAGGTTTCTACAAAAAAACCTAACAACGAGTACGCCAACCTTGACCGCGATAATCAATACTGGCGTCAAAATTTTAGTAGCTTTTGAAGAAATCATTACCGTAAGACGCTCCAATAAAACAGAATCCTTCACTTGACAGTAAGTTAATATCGCTCCATCATAACGACCCAGAAGAACAGGAAGACAGAACAACATACCAGCTCCTCCATCATTGCATATGCACGCTCCTTTGTTCGAGAACGAAGGCGTTCCCATCTAACTCGCAGCAACTCACAGAGAGCTCTCACCTACAGACATTAGCCATGACATAATATTTTAAACAACTCAACACCTACAGGCCTAAACGAACAGGAATTAAGTTTGGAAAATATCATAAACTCCTGACTTGCAGCTAAAAGACCACGATCAAAAACTTTAGCTCACCATAGGGTCTGATTGTTTTTGAACATACACTGCCTCAATATATGGCGCCATCTGCCATGCTACGAAAACAAAAGAATCAGTGAATTTACAAAATCGTAGGCATGATCTGATTCAGTTCATGAAGCGCTAGAACAAGGCAAGATAAGCAGACGAGCATTTGACTTACTGCGAAGTTCATCGTCTGGATTACTTCTCTGCACATCAACACACTTGGCAAGAATGACAGCCTGTTCAATGGTACTGAGCACTTTCAAGCCTCCTTCACTGGATTCTTTGTTCAAAACAACGTCATTGTGTACTTCCTCTTCCACAAGCTTTGGAGCTAACAGAATCTCACTGCCCTTATCTTTTGCTTTAGTATCTAAAGCAGACATTCGTCTCCAGGTATCTAGTTCGGCTCCCACTGTGGAACTAGAATCTGCACGCAAGACCATTTGAGCCTTTGCATCAATCTGCGGATATCAGTCATAATTACATGTCATCAGTGCCTGCTGAAAAGATGTGTACACGCATGTGTAAAATACTTATTAAAGCACCTACAACCAACAATCATTCTAAAAATCATTTGAACGCAGGGAAAAGCCTGAAACATTTTTCTTAAAACGTCCTTAAACAATGTTCCTTCAGTGTCCGTAAACAACTTAACACCCCATAAACATCTAAACAAAAAAGAGGGTGAAGATAGGTACCTGATGAACAGTACGAAAACCTAGAGCACCAACGACAGAAAGCTCCAGTCCACAAGTTTGCACTGCACGCTCAAAGCATACTCTGATAGAATGGTGACAAGAACCGCGTGAGCGCAAATACAAAGAAAAAATAAAGACACCAACACACACAAGTTACGGCAAAGATATGACTGCAACACGTGAACGTGTTTGGTCTGGTATGCAACACTAGATCCGTACCAATGTTCCATGCATCACATCTAGAAATAACAGGCGGAAATACTGACCACTACATGAGATATGTCACATTCTTATAATACTGCTACATACGATCAAGAAGATATATTTCTAAGCCAAGTTAGACAAGCTTGTAGAGAGAGTATTCAATTACCGAGCTTTGTTGTCATGACCAAATTCGTGTTCTACGAAACCTGACTCGAGTTGAGCCGCTGCTGCAAGGATTCTAGCCTCACCAGGAAGTAGAAGGTGACCCCACTCTTGACCTTGCACAACTTCAGTAGTGCCAAAAGTAGACAATACTGTACTGGACAAATCACGAAGTAGAGATTGCAATGAAGGTGACCGCTCAGCCAGACAGCGCTGTTGCGTTATCGAATTTCTTAAAGCCCACCAAGATCTAGTGGCAAACCCAGCTGACTTTGTCTTAATATCAACCAGTAAATATTTAGACAAAATGAGATACTGCAAAAGAAAGCATCACCGTTATAATGGTCAAATAACGGGCAAGTCGCATTGTAATGAAATATTGTTTCGGCATGATCAAAAGTGATTGAATTGTGTAGAAAAATACCTCTGGAACATATAATTTCCCCAAAAGGTCACAACCATCTATCATCAACTGCTGGCGAGCCCAATCATCAACATCATCGACTGCATCATCAGTATTTGCCGAAATGGCCGATCCTCCCACTTGAGGTCTGTCCAACGATTCATAATAATGTAGTCAGAGTTCTAAAAAAATAAGCATCGCTGTAGAGTTCAGAAATACGAGGCGGACAAATCTCCTCATACTAGTAATTATTTTTCAAATGAGAACATTTAACATATCAGGTACGGAGTGCCAGCATTTGAGACGAGCTATACTCCAAAAAAGCAAAATCTATCAAAACAATTATCTGGAAAATCTATCAAAACAAAATTGTTACTTTCTCTGTTCATATTCTTCCATGGAATTGACAAAAAAGTACAACTACGAGCCACATTTTAGTATCTTCACAAGTTCACGAAGGGCAACGCACATGAAACATGTATCAACAGAAGCTGGTATGATGGAAGAAACTATTACCCGGTCAAATTTGACTGCACGAAGGCCAGGAGAGAGGCCACACCAGCACCTAACAAAATCAAATCTTGGATCTCCTCGTCATCTTCGGTCACCTCACTTGACTTAACCTGTAATGCGTCAACAAACCATAGTGAATGCTGAGAAACCTTGCAAGGAAGCTAAATCTAGCCAATTGTCCACTTTCTGTGCATGATGTCGCATTCTGGCAGCCCATTTCTCGGTCGTAACTTCACTCGACTAAAAGATATGCATTTCACGATCACAGTATAACCCGCTTCAAATTCTCCCACACTTTCAAACACCGTCCGGGCAAAACAAAACAAATCACAAAACCTAGGGAAGTGTAAATTGACCTGATTGCTAACAAATTCTTTTATTCTGATTTTCTGCGAATTGAACCACGCTCTGTTTTCAGTTTCACTGCCACCCTGCTTGAAGGCGCCTGCAGAACCAGGCCAGAGCAACGCTTCTACTCCCCGCGACGCAAGGGCTTGGAAGTACTCCCCAGCTTCGATATTTTCCACTAAATGTTGCAAACAAGCAGCCCAGTTCACTCCATTCTCATCGCTGTGAGCTTCAACTTCCTGCTGTTCCAACGATCCATTGGACACTGTAAACGTGCAACGTAGCAACCGTAGCTCATTGGCTAAGTGAAGAATCCCCATTTCAGCACATTCGCTTGTTACTCGCTACCATGATAAGCTCACACGCACCTGAACAAGACGCAACAAGCCATGTCCACTACCATGGTCAATGAAATTGCAAACAATCTGGCGTTCCAACAACACATTCCCGTAATCTAATCCAGAGTAAGAATTCTTCTACAATATCCTCTGTGGATCGAAAAACAATGGAGCTATCACCACACACAGCTCACGAAACGAGTGCACTTGCACTGACAACCCTAAAACCCTAAATTAGGCTTAAACCCTGATTCCTGAACCTTCACAATGTCCAGAAATCACAAACCGTAAAACTAGAAATCACTACTGAAATCAACTCTGCGAGAGAAATCGATCCAACTTCCGAAATGAATTGTTGATGCGGAGCAGATTCGTGAAGCTAAACCCTAGAAAGAGATTTTTCGTTCCTCAGTTCCAGTTGTCTACAAATCAAGGGTGGTGAGCGATATTTCTTGGAACCTTCTCCGCGTCTGCTTGCATCCAATTCCGGTTCTTCGTCGTCATTTGGGATGGTTTTCGTTGGTGTGACGATACTTTTTCTAGGGTTTAGGAATTTCGTCGAATTTTTGTTTCCAATTGTTGGTGCTTACAACCTTCGGCATTAGAGAAAAATATAATTTAAAAAATAAACATGAATTATTTTAGATGATTGTACAATTTATTTTAGATTCAAGGAAAAATGAAATCAATATTCTTTAATATTCACATAATGTGGTATAAATTTGTTAATAGTAATGGTAATAATAATTAAATACATAAGTCATGAAGTGTTTATTAACTCTATGTTTGTTTCAATCAAAAAATTCACACTTTGATATCATTTTTTCATTTTTATTAAATAAATTCTTGACATGCATTTTTCTTCTTTTTTTCTTTTTTTTTCTTTTTTTTTAATAAATAGATATGCATGTTTATATACACAATTATGCTTCAAAAGAATAATAATATTTCCAAATTTGATTATTCATATTCAAGCATCTTTTTTTTGTATCATGTCTTGTATCCAATGCAGAACAATACAGCATAATAAATTTATTTTAAAATACACAAATAGTTAAGCTATATTTTAAATTATACAAAATACTAGTTTACTATCAAATAGTTTAAGTTTTTTTTGAATATAAATTGATTACCAAATCATGTTTTAAATTCAATTCCCTATTTTTAATAAGTTCACAAGGAAATATTACATGGGAGATTTTCAAGACCTGAAGAAAAAGGACCAAGTGATTGAAAAAATATAAGAAAGCAAAAAAATAAATGAGAAATGAGATAAATGAATTTTGAAATAAATATAAAAAACAGACTAAATATAAGATTATAAATACAACAACACTTAAATTGCTTCAAATTTTGTGTTGGCAAAAGTAAGGTTAATTTTGTCTTGTTCTATCACTTACATTCTAGATTTAATAAAGGTTTCTAGAATTGCACTAATATATTGTGGAATACCTTAGAATATCTTAGAAGCTTGAAGAATATTTTATGTAAAATTCTAGAAGATAATTGAAGATCACGCATAACAAGGAGATTCTATGAGCTTGTAGAAAGTTAATGAAGTTATTGGTAAATCATAAATTTCTTTGAAAATATTAAAGACTTCTAATAATTTACATAATATGGTATAAATTTGTAAATAGTTTGAGAAGATACTTAAAAGTCTACTTTGTTATGTATTCGTTTAAGGAACAGTTCTACTACAAAGAATGTGAACACCTAAATTCTTGCATCTTAAGAATCTCAAGTATCCCTTCTATATCTCCATATAGGAACTATTCCTATACTTGTTTTTATAGTTCTTAGTTTTGTCAAAGTTATAGTCAAATAATTCACATTAGAGATTATCTTCAATTTATCTATCAATTTTATTTGTAAATTTTATTTGATCTTCTTCCACCTACTCTTCAAATATTCATATTTTCATGGACTTAATCTTGTCTTGGTCTTCTTCAACATAATCTTCAACCATCTATATCTTCATTAACTTCTTCTTGTCTTCGTCTTATTTAACCTAATCTTCAACCATTTGTATGTTCATTTTATCTTACAACTCTTATAACTCTATACTACACCAAAAGTATATGAAATAATATGCAAACATGTCAATTGTACTCTCTTTTATTATGATTTTTTTAATGATAAAAATACAATTTTGAAGCTATTTATAGTTTTTATAGTATATTTCTTTTAATATTATTTCAACATATTAAAAGTAATTTATTCATAACTATTATAACTATCAAAGGTGGTTTCAACCACCTTATCTTTTAAACATATGGGTGGCTAATCCCTTTGCTTTTTCATATTTTTTTTTCTAACCTTATTTATACTTGTTTCTATAAGTTATTTTTTATACCAATTTTCATTTCTTTTTCCTTCTTTTATATCAATCTGTTTCTTTCATAATTCTCTATAATACATCTTCTAAATAAAATAATATCTTTATTTTATTAATTATAATTTCTAAAATTAATATTACTTCTTCTCTTCTACAATTAATTGATTCCATTTGATTAATCATTAATAATTATTTTGAATTCCTTGAAGCCTTTCATGTTTTTCTATTATTTTATTTATAAATAATGCATTTCTTGATCTTTAGCTTCTAAATTTTCTTGTAATGCATTCTTTTCATGCTCTAAAGCTCTTTTCTCCTTCCAAAACTAATTATCATTAGTTTTATTTAAAAATAATACTTCATCTTGCATATGAGTTGTATTTAACTTATTATAATGTCTTCAAAGGTTGTTGTGAATTTTTCTTGACTTTTTTGGATATGTTGTCGTGTTTTCCATATTTCCAAAATTTATTTTTGTATTTTATAAAAAAAATGAAATTCTTGCATTGTATGAGATTTTATTTCTTGTTTGTTTTTAAATTAGAATTAATTTCTAGCTAATAGTTAAAATTTATTGAAGAGTGGCCATTCTTAAATAGCTACCCTAATCTACTTCTATTGCCAATAGAAATCCGAGGCAACAATAGAACCACTACTAGGTGATGGGAGAGATCCCCATACCTCTTGCTATCCATAGAGGGGATGAAAAAGTGGCTGTCGAGGATATTACCCTTTTTTTATTCCTTGATAGAGGAGGTCAATGATTGTTGTGGCTACCACCTTTTCTTCCATCCATGGATAGAATGAATGGATAGCTACTATGACCATCATCCTTGCATCCTTCCATAGATAAATAAGAGGGAGGATTTTTAGAGCCTTCCCTTATCTTGGTATTGTGGATATTTGTTGCAATTTTAGAAGCATGCTGATCAAAACCATTCTATGAGTTGTTGAAATTTGTGTAATATAAGTTCTATGTATAAGTTTGGATTCTGCCAAAGAATTATTGTCAAGATTATTGTCCCTTTGTTGTATTTTGCTCCATTATATTTTGTTTTTTTTTTAAGATTAGCTTGTTCAAAATTGTGTTGTTTCTTGGCCTCTTTTATTATATAATCAAGGAGTTCTTTTTGGGATTGCATTTTAATGCTTCATTCAAAAAAATTTAATCATAGTTTTAATTCATTGTAATAGCATGAGCTTGATTTTTATACAAATTTAGATTTTTTCACTCTATTCAATAACACAAAGTTCAAAGAAGGAACAACTAATATAATTTTAGTAGATGGAGGGCCAATCTTGAGATAGTTTGTAATGAAGAAGCTAGGTATTTCATAATAATGGAAGTATGATGGATTTGTTGCTAGAAGTATCATTGCTTCAATTATATAATCATTCAAAATTACATAGTTTTAATAATTATAATGAGATCTCTTCTTGTACACTTGAATGGAGAGTGTAGTCTTGTTTCAATCAATAAAGAAGTTCAATTGGATGAATGGAAGGAGGTGTAATAGCATTATTAATACACTCTAGTGATACATCACAAATCTAATTGAATTTCTATATATATCAATTGGAATAAAATATTTATAAGCTTTTAATCCTTGTTGAATCATAACCATCAAGGTTATATGTAGAGTTGCTTGCCTATTGCTCATTATGAGTCCAAATTTCACCATTCAATGAAACTAATGCCACACAACAAATTTAAGAAGTAAGATAAAAAAATCTCAATTGTATAGTTGCTAACTTGATTTAAATCTTAGTATTAATAATTGAATTAACTTTAAGCCTTCGAAGCAATGGTTACCAATATTAATAAAAAAAAAAATAATAAAATTACTATGGTCTTCAAGGCTATTTGCATGATTTCTACTTAAATCTCAATGGTTTATTTAAGATCATTCATATAATCCATAATTATTATTTTTTATGTAATTATAAAATTATAATTAATTAGAATAAATAAAAAATTAAATAATTATAAATTATAAATTTTTATTCCTTAAATAACTAATGATAAAAGTGATTGATCAAATTATTACCACTAATTCATAGTAAAAGTAAAAAAATCTTAAAGGTTGAATTAAAAGTAAAAGTCAAAAGTAAAAGCTAATTATAAAAGAGAAAAGATTAAAGGTTAAAAGATAAAAATTAAAATCTAAAAGTTAAAATATGAAAGTTACAAATTATTGTAAAAATAAAAGTAAAAGTGAGACTAAAGAAAGATAAAAGCAAAGGTATCTTGATAATGCGCAAGAATTAAGGGCAGCAAATCCTTTCTATTCAAAAATTTCTTATAAAATTTGATTAATTCAAAATTATATAATTTTTAGTTTGTTGCAAATTTAACTTAAAGATGCTCTTGTTCTAATAAATTTAAATTCAATCCAGTACTTAAGCTGCTAGAAATTCTTTTTTAAAGTTGAGTGACTAAGACTACTACTATAGGCAACCTTTGTCTACTTGAAAATTAACCAAAACTTTAATTCGTCTTAAAATTTAGTGAAATTTATGCCATGAAAATACTAACTTAAATATGCACTTATTTCTAAAATTTCACAATAATCCAATTAGGAGGCATTGAGAAATACCTTTACAAAGGTGGATAATTTAACTGCTAAGGCACCAGACTCACTCAAAATTCCACCAAAATTTTGCTCTTACTCCAAATCAAGATATCCTTATTTTTTTTAAATCTAGTATCAAAAGCTATAACTATAAAAAAAAAATATTAAAATAAAACAATTAGACAATTGATTGAGGAAAATCCGAGGCTCTTGAATCTTTGGAATATTTAGAAGGCTGAGGGAGCTATCTAACACAATGAACTATGTCTTAAAATTCAATGACCATCATTCACTACTCAAGATCCATGCATACACAACCAAAAGTTTATAATGAGATTAAAAATCAAAAAAAAAAAAAAAAAAAAAAAAAAAGATTAGGATTTAGAGCCAAAATTTGTCATAGCTTTGCCTTTCACCAAAAGAAGAGAGAGAAAGGACTTGGAGAATCAAGCCACTATTTTACAATTGAGTGGTGGCTTGTGGAAGGGTGGCCACATCTCCACTCTTAATCTCTAAGATCTCTAATGTAGATCTATGGCCTTCATTCATCCAAGAGTCAATTTCGTTACCAAGGCTGATGGCTCTTGTAAGTGATCAAGAAAGCACTTTTTGATAAATCTAACTTTACCATTGTATTCAAAATACTTTTATAAGTTTACATCAATTACTTACATGCCTCAATTCACATTCATTTGTAATTTTTATGAAAGTTTTTACTTAAAAGGATCTTGGCAATTCTTGTAAAATTCTTCAAAATGAAAATTTCATTGCTCTACTTGTATTTTGAAGGAGAAGGTGCTGATCTTGTTTTCTTCACTCCATGGGATAAATCCGATGCCACCATTGCATTAAAAAAACTTCTATTAATTAGAAGAACTGTCATATCATTTAAATTTTTTGAATTTAAAAGAAATTTCAAAACTATCATTGTTGAACTTCACTAGATCTTTTAGAAAATTATAATTCTAATTCACTCTAAATCATATGAAATGATTTTAAATGAACTCATAAGCTTTTAGTCAACCTTCATAGTAGTAACTAACAACCTCTATATTTTTAAAACTAACTAAGTTGCTATTCTAATTTTTTAATTCTTATCACTTTGATCTTAATTAATTTAATTCAAGGAATTACGCTATGATTTATATCATCAAAGGTTGTAATCCTAAAAATCCTATAAAACTAAATTCTACTTATATAAATCCTAATCTAACATGCTTAATTATTATAAAATAAAGAAATAATAAAAATTTAAATTTTAGAGCATAATTAAGAGTTCATACTCATTTCTTTATGTTATATCGTTTAAACTACTTTTTCATTGTTTTTTCTCTTGTCTCTCTATTGAAATTTGATTAAGCCTTCAATCAGATTAATATCTAAATTATCCACATAGTATTCAATAAGGTCTTTAAGCATCGCTTTGAGATTTTAGATTAGAGTATGGCTAAAGTCTTTGATTGAAGCTTGGCTAGGTCTTGCAATTGAAGCCTAGCTAAGGCCATTCATCAAATCTCATTCAAAGTCTTTTATTGAAATTTAGTTGAGGCCTTCTTCTCAAATCCAACCAAAGCCTTCAATTGAGACCCTGTTGAGGCCTTGTGAGGATATTTGATTTGGATTGTCAATATGTACCTTATATGTATCTTTGATTAATATTAATTTTAGTTTTTCTAATGACACCCAGTTGAAGTCATCTAGTAATCTTAGCAAAATGTATAGAAATTCAATTAGATTTGTGATGTATCACTACAGTGCATTAATTTTTTTTATCTCATATTGTAATCCGTAGAAAATTGGCTAACAAGTATAGTATCATTCCACTTGATATCAGTTGCAAGTTGTCAAAATTGTAAAGCATACAACGTTACTAATTGATTGTCTTGTCACAAAATATGGATCTTATTGGTTACAACACAAATTGCATCATGTTTTCCATACATGGATCAAAACTCTACCAAAAAAGCCTCTAGATTATCTCATATGGAATCTCGTCGTTCAAGAAAAGATAAAAATCATGATAATGCTCAACCTGAAAGAAGTGTACCAATGAATGTAACTTGCGATCGTGGAGTTGAATAGCTTTGGGATTGAAGTTCAATCACAAGTTGTACTTGATTGATAAATCCTCTAAACTTTGATCTAGTGCCATCAAACTTCTCGGATAGGACAATTCTTGGTTTTTTAACACTGGAAGGACGTTCCACCATAGGAGAAGGGACATGATTTGGTGCAGATGTTGAAGCAACTCCAATCATTTCTATATCTTGACTTCTTGCTAATCTTGTTGCTCCTTGTGGTAGTAAATTGAGTTGATGCATCACAAGCATTAACTCAATTGATTGCTCTTGCATTTATGCCATTATACTCTTCATGTCAACAAGTTCTACCATGATAATATTTAGAAAAAAGATGTCTAATATCGCTCAAGTCAAATAGAAGGAAGGACTTAAGAATAAAAAAAATACTAAGGACAATATCAGTTTAGAAGTGGGTAATCCGCAACTTCTAATATGCTTATGTCTTAACAAGAGAAAGGGGTAATCTACTCTTAATCAAGATTAGACAAAGCTCTGATATTGTAAGTGTAATCTTGTCAATTTGTTAAGAATAAGAACTTGATAAAAACAAATAAACGAGTGAGACTTCTCTCAAAGAAAGATGAAAAAATAGATATAACTCAATATGTATATTAAGAAAGAAACTGGAATGGCTATTGCCAAAAGACAAGAGAACTAAAGACCCTTGAAACTAGACTAGAAGGAAGAAAGAAGTTGACAAGAGTGAAGAAGGCTTCACTCTTGTCTCTATATATACTATCTAATTAGGGGCTACGTGGCGATGTTCTATAGGACCTCCAATATGTATTGACTTTGTAGGACACATGCCTTGACTTATACGGCAAGTTTTTCTATATGTGGGCCACATAGTTAGCTTGGTCTTCAAGCTAACAACATGTGTGGCACATGGCCAACTTGTTGACCACGTTTTTAATCCCAAAAATTCAATTAAAGAAACCTATAAAGTCAAAGCAACGTCTATGAAGCTTCTATAGCAAATATTATAGAATTAACTTACTTTTATCTACTTTTACTTACTTCTACCTATTTATACATGTAATTATTGACTTACATGTGTATGTCCGTGTCACTTAATCTTCAACCATCTATATCTTTATTAACTTCTTGTCTTTGTCTTCTTTAATCTAGTCTTCAACCATCTGTACCTTCATTTTATCTTACAACTCTTATAATTCTATATTAGACTAAAAGTATATGAAATAATATGCAAGTATGTCAATTATAATCTTTTATTATATTTTTCTTTTGATGATAAAAACATAACTTTGGAGCTATTTATAGCTTTTTATAGTGTATTTCTTTTAATACTATTTAAACATAGTGAAAGTAATTTATTCCTAACTACTATAACTACCAAAGGTGGTTTCAACCACCTTGTTTTTTGAACATATGGGCGGCTAATCCTTTTGCCTTTTCATACTCCCTTATTATTTTCTAACCTTACTTATACTTGTTTCTATAAGTTATTTTTATACCAATTTTCATTTCTTTTTCCTTCTTTTATACTAATCTATTTCTTTCATAATTTTTTATAATACATCTTCTTAATAAAATAATATCTTTATTTTATTAATTATAATTTCTAAAGTTAATAAGGTATGAAGTGAATTAAAGTTTAGAATTTAAAAATTAAATTAATATTAAATATCTTAAGTATAAAAGGTATATTTGTCTAATGTTGAAAATTAACATAATAAATAACATAGTTGATAAAAACTTATTATATCAAATAAAGAACTAAAAGTGATGAATATATTATAAGTTTTTTAAAATGTAGATATTTTAAAAATTTAACATATCATCTTATCTTTATAATAATAAAATCAAAGACCTTTTAGGTATATAAATTAACTAAATTATTTTATGGTAACAAAATATTTTTTAATAAATATATAAAAATCCAAAACATTCTTCAAAAGTACACATGGGTATGACAATTTTTTGTTTATTTCTATTTTCTTCCCTTTCTTCTTTCCCTCCTTAACAATTTAAATTTAAGTATTTTATTGAAAGAATATTTGAAATTTAATGAGTATTTTCTTTTTGTAGTATTGAAAAAATAAATAATTTAAAGTCTTTACAACCATTTTTGTATTTAATTTCTAAAATTCACTTCTTCAATTTTATTAATACAATATTATTTAATAATATGTGTTTTTACATACACACACTTGTCTACATTTCATAGTAATTTCATTATAAATAAAATTATCAGTATTTTCAAAACCACATTTAAATGTATATATATATATATATATAAGAACACATTTCCATAATCAAATTCCTTTTCACTATTTACCAGTACAAGCCATATGAAGCACGTGGAGCCTACATTCAACACACGTAGATGCCAAGTCAGCAATAACGGTGTCAGTCGGTCGACGTGGACCCGCAACGCCATTGGTCGAAGACACGACCCTACGTGGACGTCCGACCACGATCTTCCACGTCATCCGATTTGTGAGTTGGGGGGAGAACACGGCAATCTCAAGAGTCGTGTCCTTCTTCGAAACTACGAATAGGTTCCCCAAACGTGGGATCTTTGGGAACCTTCCCCGCGGTGGATGTGAGGGAACAGTCAGTAAGAGAAAAGGAAAGGAGCGGAGAGACGGCGATGCTCTAGAGGGTTCCTTCCTTCATCTTCCCCCACACAGAACGGTATATATCCCTACCGGGGCGAGTTCCTCGAGCGTTGAAGTATCAGCTCGGGAGACATTATTTGCCGGTTCTCGTCACAGGTGCTTGTGGTTCGTGTGGGTTGGAGTCGCTTTCGAAGATAACAAGATAACAACACGAGGTCCGCATTAAGGTCGTTTTGGTGATCAATTCGATACGCCTTGGTGGGAAATTGGTGCAGTTTGGAGGAAGATCGAGATCGCCGTGTGGGGATTGGTTGAGGGTCGGAGCGCGGGAGAGATGGATTACGCTGCGTCGTTTTTCGAGGGGCGCGGGTCGCAATGGAATTACAACTCGTTGAAGAACTTCAACGCCATTTCCACGGCCGTGCAGCATCATCTGCAGAGGGTAAAGGGTTTTGCCCAACTCGGGTGGTGTGTTTTTGGTTGTTGTGACGAGGGGTTTGTAGTGATTGTTTGGATTATTGCTTCCCTTCCTCTGGTTGGATGCGAATTCGGACGAGTTCCTGTTGAATGGGTGTTTTGTGATACGATGCTAATTTCGTGTTGAGCTTATTTATTCTGCGTTAAAGATAACGTACTTGTTGGTTTAATATCTTCTAGGGTTTGAATTCTGTGTAAAGAACTTGTCGTGGGGAAAGATTTGTTGAAATATACGGCTTAACTTGTTTTAGTCGGTATTTTTGCATCTATGAAAATGTCAATGGAAGGAAGCCAGGTGTAAGACTCATTGAAATTTGCACATGTGCATACAATTTCTCAATCCCTAGCTCCGTATTCTTGCAGGTTTACATGACTTTGGCCGCTACCGTTCTTTTGTCGGCGGTGGGGGTGTACATCCATACTTTGTGGAACATTGGAGGCATCATTACTTCTTTGTTGTTCATCGGCGCCAGTACATGGCTTGCAGTTACTCCTTCAACGGCGGAGAACGAGGTATGTGGATCGAGGCACATCATACTAGTCTTAAGACCGGATCGCGTCAACCGTAAACATGAACCTAATATGTACCCCTTTTTCTGCAATCCAATTGTGAATGTGTTCTAATTCCTTAATTTATCAATATCTTTACGAAGTCGAATATTGATGCAATCGCTGAAGGAGGAAAGTATTGCGCTCTTTTTGATAAATGAGACTATGATACATCGACAATTTGTGGAATTTCAGTGATGTATCTAGGCTCGTTGTGTTATCATGCCCATTACAACGGAGTTCACGGCCGTAGTCTTTAGTTTCTTTATAATTTATTCTACATATCGCTATAATAGTTTCTGCATAAGTGTCTTTGTTTCTAAAGTGTTCTGTTCTTGCCAAAAGAATAAAAGGCTGCAGCTGTTGGGTGCTGCTGCTCTTTGTGAGGGGGCATCTCTTGGAACATTAGTAGGGCAGGTCCTTCAATTCAACCCCAGGTATGTCGCCAAATAGTGTCATGTATTGCGAAACATTTGCAATAAGTTTGATTAGTTTTTTTTACTTTATTATTATTATTATTAATATTATTATTATTATTTTATCACATATCCTGGTCGTAAATTCGTGCAATGTCGGATGAACGCATATTACTCAGGGGGCATCATGTGGATTGTTTTTATTTTACTTTATTTTATTTTCAGACCTTCCTTATTACACGCTATGAACTTAGATTCAATCATCGTATTTAATGAGTTAATTCTGTAATTCTTTCCTCGAAACAGACTTGTCTCACAATGTGCCACAACTTTGGCTCTTCTGTAATTGGTTTTTGCAGTATTGTCATGTTCGCATTCCTCGGCTCCACAGCAATCTTCGCTTGCTTCACTGGAGCCGCTTTGCTAGCAAAGCGTCGAGAGTACCTGTTCCTGGGAGGCATCTTGTCATCTGTCATCAGTATGATGCTTATGATGCAGTTTGGCTCAATGTTTGTTGGTCGCGGAGCGTTTATGTTCAACGTTGAGGTATTTTTCTATTCACCGATTATTTAAGGGATTGCGTGTGATTCTTTTGCGCACGAAGATGTTTTCAATTCGCAACCTTTTCATGATCTCGTACTGGTGCCACAATTTGTTCTATCTAATGTTTTGTTTGTGTGAATTGAGAGACTGTTTTTGCTTGGTTGCTCATTACTGATAGTTTTATGCTATTCGTGTTTCAGTTATACCTCGGATTGGCTGTGTTTGTGGGCTACGTGTTGTTCGACACCCAGATGATCATTGAAAGGGCATCACTTGGTGATTATGATTACATCAAGCATACATTAGACCTCTTCATGGATTTCGTTGCTATCTTTGTGCGCATATTGGTTATTATGGTTAGTGTTGAACCCTACCCTTGTATGAAATTGTTCTTGTGCTTGCTAACTTCGCTTATGGTCTTAATCTGCTCACCTTGGCTCACCTTATTCCTTGCTTAGTTTTGATCATCGTATTTCATCCTTAAACAACTTGGCATGTTGGAAGATCCGCTGTTAAGCACAGTTCCAGCGATCTTTTTAAAGGAAAATTGAAAGTAATAATGGTAGAGATTGTGGTTCACAGGGTAGGTAATGGATGGTCGTCCTGCCGTATGATATTCATCGCATTGTATTTCTCACTAGCTAATCGTTACTTTTCTTCTTGTATTTACATCAGTATGCGAATTCATCTCATTCTTTCAACATAAGATTTTTTTGATGTAGTGATTAGTTCTCACATTTCCTACTAATCATCTTTTAAGTCTTTACAGGATTACTATTTGTTACTGGGTTTGGTTTTCAGAATTGTTTTAATAATAACTTACTACAATGGCAAAGTCAGTTTGGGGTCTTGATGCTATGAATTTTTGAAACTATTCTTCATGGAGATGGCCAAAGAACATAGATGGTTAACCGATATTCTGTGGGGTACAGACCAAGAACGCGAATGAAAGGGAGCGCAAGGATCGTGAACGCCGGAGGCGCCGCGATTAGAGCAATGCAACATGGTGACGTGGATTCATGTATGGAGGGTTGTTTGCTTTTTCAATCTGTGTGGTAATGTGAAGGCTCGCTTACATTTAGCTCATCTGGGCTTGGTGATTAAAGCTTTGTGTAGCAGGTAGTTTTGTAGATCGTATTAGGAACTTGTACAGATGCTCCTTCACAATAAAGGCAAGAAGACTGAATTTATCATTATGGTGTAACGTTTTTGAGGGTCTGTGTCAGGTGTGCATGATTTTCTGGTTTAGACAGTTGTCGTTAAATAAATAACATGTAAGTGAGAAAATGCAGTTAACCTAATTTAGAGAAGAATTAACAAAGTAACACTTTTGTATTAAGATACTAAGGAATGTAGTAGTCTTGACTTGTAAAAAAATCACTTACCTTTTTTAGTCTTTATATTTGTGATTTTAAGACAATTCTTTATTTTTAATGTCGTAATGATTTTTAAAACATTGTAATAGATAAATTCGTTGTTATTAAATATACAAATTCTACCCAAGTTGGAATATATGAATTTAATAAATTTTATATCATCTATATCACAATCTCTTCATATGTCAAGTGTATGATTTAAACTTTTTATTTTTTATTTTTTAATTTTTTGTCTTGTTACATCTAATAACATTAAAGTTTGTGCTCAATATTATTTGTAGTAATTATCAATTTTAATACAATCTATAAGACATGATTTGTAATAATATAGATTCTAAATTTCATGCAATATCTAATCTTCTCAATATTATTAATAAAATAAAAAATTATATCAACTTTAAACGATGGCAACTAATAAACTTTGCCTTGTTATGCATATTATATATTTATTGCTAATCTATTTAGTGATAATTATATAGATGATTTGTTAATGATATTTAAGATATGTGAGTTGATTTAGTAAATGCTTGTGTCAATTTAACAATTTCCTTTTTTTACATTTAATTTTTTTTCTTTTCTATTATGTGGTAATATATGCTTCCAATTTATTTATTTTTTGGGGCATGTATATCAAAGTTGTAAGAACTAAACTTAGAGAACATTTTTGGACCTTGAAATGAAATGTGTACTCCATAAAAATAAATAAAAAATAACACAGTTATTGCTACTCCAAATTTATTATTTCATTTTAATTATCTATTAGTAAAAAAAAATACAATATTTTTTAGTTTTAAGATTAAATAATTTAGATGTTTAAATATAAATATATTTATATAAAGAATTGTTAATGCTACATCTCTAATTGGTATTGCTACACCTCACATGACTTAAATTGACTAAATAGCAAGCTTCTATACTTAGGACTCATTTGGCAACTCAATGTTTAATCCCAATATTGATCCAAAAATATAATAAATCCAAAAATAGATTTTATTTTTTGGCAATTCATGTTTTCAAAATGAATTAAAACAGCTTGCAACCTATTTTTTCATAAAATATTCATTGTCTCCCTTCCAACCACTACCTTTTCTTAAAGCAAAGAAAGGAAAAAATGTACAAAAAAAAGAGGCATATTATTAGTTGTCTACAAGGAGGTCATGTAGAGTGTAGAATTATAAATATATTGTAATTGAGATGCATTTTAGAAAGTATTCCCAATTATAATGAGTTTAGAATCAATTACTTTGGATTAGTTTTGTTTGTGATTTAACTTCTAATGTTATCTTACTACTTATATATTTAAGAATAACAAAGTCTCACTTTCTTACAATATTTTCTAGATTCATCTTTTGAGCACAATCCAAAATTAGAGCATTCTGCTACATTCTCTGAAATTTTCAAAGGAAAAAATTTGCATAAGTTTAAATATGAAAATCTCAATCATATTGGGTTTATCAAGGTTATTCACTAAAAAAAATCTACATTTCGAGCAAATCGATTCAAAGCTCGCAAATTTATCAAATTCTTCAACCAATATCACTTTGTAAACTTTAGTATGTTTAATTTAACATGTACAACTAAAACATTCTCTATAATTAAAAAAACAAAACAAACATAGTTTATGTGTCCATTTAATCTGTGACATGAGCTTGCAAAACTACTATTAACCACACAGACCAGTCCTGTTGTTCATTTCAAGTCATAATTCACCACAACCGATCAAAAGTACTTCATATGCATTAAGTCCCAAACCACATGATCATTGACGGCAAACAGAGTCAAAATAACATAATTAATAGGGTTTAGAACCGACGTACGTAAATCCAAACCTCAAAACAAGCACATATATCACACATTCATATTCAAGAGAACACTGCTCAAGAACTGATATAACACCCACCAACATGGACACTACAGAGGGGAAAATAATACCACAACATTAAATCAGAAATGAGGCTGTGCTTTTCGGTTAGTGAAGAACATATGCGAAAATACAGAATAATTGAGACAACTGCACGATGGTGATGACATGAAGAACAATGTACAAATGTCGGTAGAAAACAACCAGCGAGAAGACAGAAACCACAGACACTGATAAAAGAGACTCTTATCTTACTTGAACAATTTGCAAGAAAATCAAGAGTAGAGAATGCTTTCAGTGTACTGATGGGATTCATCAACCAATATCACTGCACTGTCCATAGCAAATGGCAGCACTCATGTTGTGACAGCGTTCAAATTACTGAAGTTTTTCATCAAATATGTCTGTCAAGCTAATCCCAATACCTGGTGGATGTCAGTGGCAGCTCCTTCACATTCCAAGCTCTTCACAATTTATTAACCTGTGCATTACTAGTCGCATCTCCAGCAAAGAAACGTCCGGAAACATGCTCAGCAAATACCATCAGCAGAAATGCAACTCCAGATAAAGGATTAGTGTACCTCCGAAGACATCGACAGATAGAAATGTGTGTGGGGACAAATAGATCTTGTCGAGAAAAGAATGAAGAGGCAAGAGCATGCGAAAATGTTATACTTTCTATCAACCGTGTTGCGAATTTCTCAACAATAAGAGTCCACTAAGAGTCCACTAAAGTAGAATGCCGAGGGATATGGTTATTACAACTGCCTCCTGATGCCCCAAAGATTTCCTACACTTCCCAACCCTGATCTCAAATTACACTAAGAATTAAAAAAGAAAAAAAGAAAAAATCCCAGAATAAAATAGAATCTCGGAAACCCCAAATTAGGCAGCGACAGGGCTCTCAGCTTCACTCTCCAATGGAGGCAATGTGGGGGCGGCAAGCCTCTCACCACGAGGCCGACCAACCTTGCGCTCCACAACAATGAACGTCTTGCTCTTACTGATAGGTTTGCACTTCTCGAGAGTGACGATGTCGCCGACGTTGCACTCGTTCTCAGGATCGTGCGCGTGGTACTTCTTTGCCGACTTGATACGTTTCAGGTACTTGGAGTGGGGCGCAATTCGGGTGACCTCCACGGCGATGGTCTTGTCGTTCGAGGCACAAATCACTCGACCCTGAATCTTCTTCATGGCTTCCACTCGCAACGGCCCAGCAGCAGAGGACGGGGACATGGGGGCATTCGCATGCGCCAGTTTGGTACCGGCCATGGACGAGCCCAGCGACAATTGCGACGGCGCGCTCATAGACAGCGAAGTTCCGACAATGGACGCCATCGTTGCAGTCAGACCCACGTCCGCAATCGAGCTCGAAACACACAAATTTCTCGCAAACCTGCAAAGACAGCTACGGCGCTGGAGTGTGCGCAAATGTTTGGAGTTCGGATAAGGGGAGGAGACGGGGCCGGGCCGGGTGCGCAGGGCGAACCCCGATGGCCCTCTACCCGTTCGACTCCGTGTCCACATGGATCCTATCGTTTCATTTCTGGTGTGAACCCGGCTTTCGTGGAGGTTTCGTCCAAGCCCTTCCAAATGATATTCTCACTATCTCTCATTCAACGGTGGGTCAATGGGCATGAATTTGTAATGTAATGGAATAAATGGAATAAATGGTATAAATGGAATATATATATATATATATATATATATATAATTTATTTAATATAATGGATTTTATTTTATATGGAATGTATGAATTGTATTGACTATTGTGTGTTTGTTTGTTTGTTTTGTTTTATTTTTCTTTGGCAATATCATGTATATCATCATGGAAAAAAATTATAATTTATGTATCTTACAACATGTAAATATGAAAATTTTGTGAAAATTACCAATTTAAATAAATAAATAAATATTTGGCATGTATACCAAAGATAATTTACATACTAAATGTATATTTTATTTGAATAGGTATTTAAATAAAGCGGTGCATTTTTTTGTGATTACAAAAAATTATACTAACATAACCAAATTTTTATTTTCAATGTTGTTTAATTAAAATCAATATACATGTATATAGTTTTTAGATTTTGTATATTTTAGTCATGAATAAAAAATACATAAAGTATATTTATAATTATTGAAATACTTTTTGGTATTTTAAAACATATAATTTTTTTTATAAAAGTGTATGGATTTCAAACTAAGTTTTTGTTTCTCTCATATTTATGCCAAAAGAAATTTATTATTTTACAAGAATAATATTTATCAACAAAATCTAATTCTAAAAAGGCAAGGAATTTCTACCAAAGTTGTTTTTAGCTATGAAATTACTAATTAAAAAATTATTCACAAGACTAAGGAGACCACAAGACGTGGTAGAATGGCATAGCTAAATCTATAACCATCCTCATCATCATCTTCATGTGAGAATTCATGCTTATTGAGGTCTGTTCTACCAATAATGCTAGACTAATGAATCTACTGCATTGTGAAATGATCAAAATCTGATGCTCCTCTCTCTTGTGCGAGATTTGTACAATTGACTCCAAAAATTCAGTAAGATCTCTTTGCTTCTCATCACACAGATTAGTTCAGACTGAGCACCACCAAGCACCTTAGATATTAGAGTTACACTATCTTTTACTAGTAACAAGGTAGTGAAGTTCAAATCCAAGAAAGTACCAAGTATGTCATTGTGAGAAGAACATGGATAGACAACATGTTGGATTTCTACTTATGTTTTGTTAAAATAGATATATATATATATATATATATATTAAAATCAAAGCATTTGTGTGCTTTTGATTTATGATTATATCCTATAAGTATAGATGTTTTGGCTTTGAAATCTAGTTTTTTAAAATTTTCAAAAGAAAATAGGATAAATAATTAAATATATATAAATGAACTAAGTGGGGCATTTTTATCAAAGAAGAGTTAAAATTAAATAATCATATAAAGAACTTAATGTAAGATGGAATCGAAGGTATAATTAATTGTTGAAGTAGCTTTCTTCCATAAATAAGATTGTGGATGTACACCAAATTATAAACTTTGCATAATTCTACAAAAATACCTATTTTTTTCTTAGCAATGTTATTTTGTTGAAAAATGCCTATTATAAATTATCTTTGTATATCATTCTTAGCACAATAAGAATTGAATTAATTTAAAAAATACTCTTCACTTCAATTTTTTTATAAGCAAGTTAGCCTTTGCATTGTTTTTCTTTAACCATTTGTTTAAAATCTTTGAAGGTTTTAACTGTATTATTTTGTATCAAAAATAGAATCAATATCTCTTTGAATAATTATCAATAAATTTTAAGAGATATCAAGATCCTATAAAAGATTTGATAGAAAGGAGTTCACATAAATTTGAACAAATTATTTTAAGTAGCTTGATAGTTAGATTGTTATCGATATATATTTATTGTAATTATTATCTAAATAATATGAATAAGTAGAAGTAGGTAAAAATAGATTAATTTCAGAATATCTTGTAGAGAAGCTTCTTAGAAGATTTATAGACATTGCTTTAGCTTTATATGTATTTTTAGTTGATTGATAGGTTAGAAACTTGATCAACAAGTTAATCACATGTTGATAGCTTGTAAAATAAGCTAATTATGTAGCACCTATATAAAAAAATTACCTTGCAAGTTAAAATATATGTTGTACAAAGTCAACATGTTTTGGAGGTCCTATAGAATGTCATCATGTAGGTCTTAAGTAGATAGTATATATAGAGACAAGAGTGAAGCTTTTTTCACTCTTATTAATTCTTTTCTTACTTTTAATCTAGTTTTAAGTGTCTCTAATTTTCTTATCCTTTGATAATAGCTATTTTATTTTATTTTTAATATACATACTTCTTTATTTTTATTTTTTCATACTTTTTTGTAAATTTTAATATATATTTTTTTATTTTCAAGTTCATTTTTTTTACTTGTTTTGAGAAATATTAGATATTTTTTTTCTTTCTAAGTATTATTATGATGAAGCTTGTTAAAATAAAGAGTGCAATGGCACAAATGCAAGAACAATTGAAAGAGTTAATGCTTGTAATGCATCAATTCAATTTACCATTATAAGGAGAAACAAGAATGATAGAAAGTAGAGATATAGAGATGTTTGGAGTTGCTTCAATATTTGCACCAAAGAATATATATATATAATAGTAAAAAACCATTCAAGTGCTAGAAAATCAAGAATTACCTCATTTGAGAAGTTTGATAGAACAAGATCAAAGTTTCAAGGCTTTATCAATCAAGTACAATTAGCAATTGAACTTCAATCCCAAAGCTATCCAATTCTAGAATCACAAGTTAGGTTTATTGGAAGACTACTTTTTAATTGTGCATTATCATGATTTTTATCTTTTTTTGAGCAATATAATCCAATATTGAATAATTTGGAAGCTTTCTTAGCAAAATTTTGATCCATGTATAAAAAATATGATATAATTTGTGTTGTAATAAATAAGATCTATATTTTACAATAAAGAAATCAATATGTAACATTATACGCTTCATATTTTAGATAACTTATAATTAATATAAAGTAGAATGATGCTGCATTTATTAGCCAATTTTTTTATAGATTAAAATATGAAGTAAAAAAAATTGATGTTCAAATTACCTAATTGTCAAATATTGAGTCAAATAATTGATTTTGCTGTAAACTATGATAATTGACGTTTTGAATATGATCTAAAAATTGCATAAGTAGGCCTCAACATTATTATAATTTAATGGTAATATCAATGGCTTTTCAATACATATCTTTGAAAGTAAAGGATATGCAAATTGATGCAGTATAATTAAAACCTCTTATTGAATAAAAAAGACTTATCATTGTCAGAAAAGATTATATTTATATTGTAGAGAACCAAATCATACTTTCTAACATTGTCCAAAGAAGTGATATTGTCGTGTTGTAACACGAGTATACTATGAAAATATAAAGAAAGAGGACTTTTATTAATGTTCAGTTACCTCGAATATTGGGAGCAACGATCAATTCCAGTGCAAATACTGAGAGGCTAGGTTCAGTCACCCCATTACAGTCACCCGAGGCTTACTGAAATGCTCCGTTCGATTCCAATAACGGGAGTCAGCAGAAAGGGAAAGGACCAATTCAACGACAGGTGAGTGTGGTTCGAAGAGCCAATTGGATCCAATTTCAAGACATCCAATCCAGGGCCTCTTATCCAATATGAGACCTGAATTGGTCGGGCGACTCAATATTGTCCCGATTACAGGGCTCCGATTCCGTTTCAGGTTGTTCCATTCTTTGTGCTGTTCCGGGGACGTCCTTTCGGTAAAAGGATCTCTTAAAGGTAAAAACGGAGGAGAAAGCTCTGACGACGGAGCCAATTCCGGATCCAAGACGGAAGGAGCCAATTTCGGATCCAAGACGGAAGATTGAAGAAATTCAGAGGCTAGGGTTTGAAAGAGGAGAGAATTAGGGTTAAAGGGGAGGAAGGTTAAGAAATGAGGGGGGGGGGGGTTTTTTTTTCAGATCGGGTTTTTTGGATCGAAGAGCTAGCTTCAAGCTCTTTTCAAGGTCACTAGTTTGGTTTCATTAGGATTGTGAGGGGAGAGCAATCGCTGCTGAAAGTCAGTGTTTATTTTGGTGTTTCGGATTTTATATAAAACATTGATGGTTTGCATTCTCAATCGGTTTGTGCAAGTCGTGTAGCATCTATGGATCAAAATTTGGTATTGTCTGGATAATTGGGTGTCCTAAGTGTATACAAAAATTTGTGTTAATCTAACGATGCAATCAAGAGATATATGGATTTTAGTACAAAGGGTTGTCGGAAGTTGGCAGTCTAGGGTTGGATAGGGTTTCTGTGATATCTGAAGATCTACTGGTTGGGTCGACGTAAATTTTGGCTTGGTAATAGAAGATTTGGAGATCAAGTGGCTATTCAATTTTGAGCTAGAGTTAATGGTTGACAAAGGAGAAATCACTTCTGGAGTTTCTACATCAAATTTCAAGGTTGTGGCCGAGTGTCATCAGTGCGGTTTTTGGGCGTTTTCTTGCAATCTGTAAGTTGGGTTGGGCTGAAATTTTCTGAGCATATAGAAGGCTTATACTGGTATTTGGGTGCAAAATTTCACACTAAGTGGACGGTTGGATCAAAAGTTACAGCTTGTCAAAGCTAACTGGCTAGGGTTAGGGCTTGTTAAGAAAAACAAAAACAACTTAATTATAAAAGAAATAAAGAAATTGGAATATTGTATGGTTAAAATGACTATGAGGAGTGTTTTTAAATACTTGGAAATTGATATTTCAATTATATACTTCATACATGGATAAAATCTATTAGGATTTCTTTGTTATTTGCAAAAACAACTATACCTACCACAGCCAGATACCCAGTGTATTCCCGAACAAGACAACACATAATACGACAACGTAATT